ACTCTATTATTGGCCATGAGTTACGTTTATCTCTCTCTCTCCCCATCCTGGCCCTTTACACAAACTGCTGGGTCCACGATTCCAACAGCAGTCCGCCACTGTTGGTTATCATCATCATATCTCATCTGTTGCTGATATTCCTTTCTACATCATTCTTCTCTAATTTCTAATCTCTCCAATCGATCAGTACGGATTTTGTTGAATTGCCCTCCACCTCTATTTTCTTCCACTAGTGTTTCCCGCACCTCTGATAATTATAATGATCAGGGTTAGCTACGTATGTGCTAATTGGAGATACGGTGCGGTAAAAGTTAAACATACACATACATGCATACAGCACTGCCATTATTTTTGCTGGATTCCTGTTTAGTGGCATTTCTCTGACACACACATTCCTCAATCATTAATATTCTTGTTCGTTCCTGACTCGTGTGTTTTTTTAGTTCCATATAATGGTGGAGACTATTCTCCCAATAGGACAGCCTCTGTTGACTTCCCACAAAGTTATACTCATTTGACTCTGGTAAGATGACCCAGGAGAGATAACTGGCTGAGTTAAGCTCAGGCTATGAGTTTAACTCGCATACTTCAAGTGTTCTTACCACAGTGCCAGCCAGATATAAACAATAATATATATATATATTTTATATCTACGTGGCTTTACCGAAAGACCCAAAGAATAACAACAACGTTTAGCTGGTTCCCATCGCTGCCTCCTAATGTCCCACAACACCATAGTCTCAGAATATTGATTGCGTGGATCATCCCTGAAGGTATCCCATTGAATAAGTCACATCCCCTTGGAACGGCGACATCATACTGACAATGACATTTCATTTTGTAGCACGTGCTGTAAGCAATTAAAATATTTTAACGCATCAATGTCTACACGTTTGATGTGATTATGCGTCTTAATTCATCTGAAGCTAAGTCATCTATTATACATGGATGTGTTAAAATGTTTGAAATAACAATTAGAGCAATCACGTTTTGTGAATAATTAGATTTGAATCAAGCTGCTATGCTGCCTTCCTCCTCAAATCAATATTCTTGGCAGAGAAAAACAAGAAAGTCGTGCTTTTGTGACTGCATCGAAAAAGCAAGTTGCCATTCTCAGAAAAAACTATATTGTTATTAATATCACAGAAAATCCAGAATACTGACATTTAAACAGATACAAATTCAATATTCCACTCTATGATTTCATGGCCCCAGTACTTGAACAATGATGTAAGCGATGCACATGCTGTCTATGAAGTTTGCGATTAAGTGGAGTGAGTAATTAGACCACTCTATAAAGAAATTTATATTATTTGCTAATTAGCTGCATTAATGTGTTTTTTTGTCTGTTCATTTATTTTTGTAGTGACATTGAGCCGCAGTAGTAAAAAATAAGTGCCCATGATGTTCGGCTCTAAAGTGTGCAGGCTTAAAGGGGTCAGTTCTAATTGACTTCTTGCTTTCAGTCCTCATTTTAAAGGCATTTTAAAGCCTGTTAAACTATGGTAAACTGAATGGCTAATGGCCAAAAGTATGCCATAAATTGTGACATGGCACTGCCATTAGATGCTATCACAATTATGCCCGAAGTGAGTCACAATAATCGTTCCGAAAGCATAATTGTGGAATGCATTATGGAATACAAAATAGCACAACAAATTCGTTTGAGACTAATATGAAATAGACGCAATATGTAAATTAATATCTAAAAAGCTTTTATTTCATCCATTCTATTTTTTTAAATATCTTGTTTTGTGGTGGTTTGAAATCGCGTATATTTAGAGAACGCCATTGTGTTCAAGAAGGTGGTCGTGGCATGGGCCAGGACCGTACCGGCCGGCACCACAACATAGAGTAAACTACTTGAACAAGTATGGAACAATACACAACTTTAAAAGTGTTGTAGATGTCATTTGAAAGAGAAGATTCCACTGACGAGGGTGTGTGCTGGATGGATTAGAGCAGGTTAGTGATGGAAACATTGGAGGACAGCCAGAGGTTTACGATTCATATGGAAGAGTTCCGCCAGATGGTGGGATATACCATGAGAGCAGATCTTGATGTCAGGTATTGCATTTTTGACATCTCAATTGTTGAGCAGATGTGAGAAAGCAATGGCAGGGTACAGTGGTATCAACAGCATTAATTGTTATGAGCACATCAGCATTGATTATTATAATCAAAGCTGATGCGCTCGTTAAACCACTCAACAATATCAACCTATGCACTGCGTTATTTCACACGTACGTTTTGAAGCAGTTATTTTGTTTGTCTTTGAACATTGAGGTAGATGTCTAATACATGAAAAGTAGGTGGTCCACACAAAAGGGTAGATTGCCCAATAAAGCAATGGAATGCTCTGCAGCGGAATACGTGTACAGTCTTAGGGGGGTGGCTTTGCCATGCACATCTGTGGCAATTTCCAATTTTCTGCATTTATTGCAGTGTTCACTTAGTGTGGTGACTCCACACGTTGCACCCTTGTGTCTAGTGTCTGCTTGCGAGAATCAGGAATTATAACTCTTATTGCCAAACATTTTCACTGAAAAGGGAAATTCTTCGGTTTCCTGCTCAGCTGCTTTATTTTTGGATATTGGATTCGTTCCCTGATATTGAAGGAATTAAGTGTGTTCAATTCAAGCAAGATGTTTGTCACGTGGCTTTCCGTGCTTTTAAATTGCAGCATGTACGGTACAGTTTCCGTGCAGCAGTTCATGTGTGTGCTTGGTTGTCTGTATCAGATATTTCAATGACGTGAAAAACGTTCATGTTAGCAATATGCTTGTAAAGATAAAGAGGGCTGTTTTCTGTTTAAAATTGTACTTAAAAGTGATTTTTCTTTCTCTCCCAGATGCCATGTTTAAACATGCTTTCAAATGAAATGTTGGAGGTTTGTTCATAATATCCACTGTACAGCATTTAAAATTGTGTGATAGCACACGTGTAAAATGTGTTTTTTTAAGTAATATATCTACAAGTAAATTATATAACTGCACAATATATAGTAACTAGAGGGCGGTACATGCTGTGCGTGGGGTGAAGCTTCCCACCAAATCGAGTTTATTTGTTTAACAAGGTGGGAATCCAAGAGACCAGGATCAGTCTCATTTGTGTGAATGTATCCTGGGTCACCAAATTGACAAAAGCAAAACAAATCAGGTGGACCAACGAAGGAAATGGAAATTAGTGCAACACAAGTGTCACATGAGAAATTTAAGAAAGTGCACAAACATAAATCGGTGTTCAAAAAATTAAATCCTGTCATGTAAGTCCCCTCAGACAGAACTTTTTCAGACTCATCATCATAGAATGAAGTTACAAAAAACATTAAACAAATATCGGGTGACTATTGTACTCATATAAACAGACAAGGATATAAATGGCGGCTTGCCATCCTTTTCCACCTCCATGTGGCGATGGCTCTTTCCGAGCTCTCTCCGAGCTTACATTTACAAGTAAATTTCTTACATTGACATGCTAATCTCTCACAATACAATGGGCACCCCCACAGCTTCGTTTCTGAGTTACATTCACTAACACAGCCACCGTTAACTGTGTTAGTAAATGGCGGCTTGCCATCCTTTTCCACCTCCATATGGTGATGACTCTTTACTAGCTCTCTCCGAGCTTACATTTACAAGCATTTATAAACCTTTGTAAACAGTTCTTTGATTGGTGTAGGCCTGTTATGGAGACCTTTCCTACATTAACATTAGCTGCCCCGCCCATCTCTAAACCTTTATAAACAGCCTGCCTCAGCAGCTTTCCCCTTCTTTTTTCACCTAATGACGATGGCTTGTGTTGTGATCGAAACTTCGTGATATTGTTATTATTATTTTTTTCTATCTAAGTGGCTTTACTGAAAGACCGAAATAATATGAATTCCTGCATCACGAAAGCTTTAAGTCAAGAGACAAGGATATATGTCATCAGCCCCCTCCCCCCGCCTCTCCTTCATAAGCTTACTCTCTCTCCTGTTGGACCTGCCCTTGCCCAATTGACTCAATTCGCTTGCTCATCAGCTATGCCCTTCCATAAATTGACCACTCATACGTCAGCACTCACCAGACACCTACCATGTGTGTCCTTTGTGTGCAAAATACTCAGGAAAGTAATATGTCAAACAACCACATATCTTGCATAAGTGTTCTTAGCATGTCAATAAAAAAATTCCTGCATAAATCTTCTGCTTTATTCCAATGGGTGACGTTCTTCGAGAAGATTGTTTTGAAGAAGAGTTGGTAGAGTGGTAGCATCTCTATGAAAGTGTGTCACTTTCAATAGTATAGAGTTCTCCTCTTTCCATCTCATCTCATTAGTACTATCTCCCAGTTTATTTACTCCAATTCAACACATTTCATTCTTCAGATAAAGTGCAAGCTTTTTATGTAGCAATGGCCAAGCCAAGAAGGCCTTCTTACCCAGCGATTTCCACAATGTATTACACCATTGCTACCCCCTAAAGTCTGCAACTCTTTTCCCCCAGCCAACTGTGCTGTCGAAACTCTGATTGTCTTTTGAGTCCAAGCTCACACACTTCTTTTTCCAATAATAATAATAGTTGATTGCTACTGTCTATAACATAACTATGCCCAGTGTCTGTAAAGTATCTTCAGATCCGATCACATTTAGAATTTATATTATACCAAATTGAATGTATAACTATTATATATTTTGACTTAAAACTTTCGTCAATGGTTCTTTCGGTAAAGTCACAGATTTATTTGTTCTAGCTAGGTGACTTTACCGAAATAACTATAGAATAACTATTATATAAGTGTCCCTGGGTTGCACAGCTGGCCAGAGGTTACTTTTGAGTGTAAGAATCCTTGGGGTTTTGGTTATGGTAAAAAATATCTCAGCGCTCGAGCTAAAAAGTGGTTTCCTCAAACGTGTTAAAAAAAATCTTCATTTGCAGTATTGCTACATGTTTTCACTATGTTGCCATTGTTGCTGACTATATGTAAGCGCCTTGTTAAATGCCTATTTTAAACTTTCAGAAATCTTACATGGAGGGGTGTACATAAAGGAGAACAAGCACCTCTGTTACCACAACACTGTGGACTGGTGGGACATTGTGAAAGAAGGCAGCATTGTCAACATCGACATGGACAACAGCACCACATGTAAGAATGGTGCACTGCTTGTTTACTCACAAGTGTACAAGGCATCCGAATCTTTATCAGAATCTGTATTTATCCTGGAGAAATCCAATGAGCTATGAAGCTCTTGTTTACAGATGTCCAGTAGGGGCTGGTCAGAAAGTTACAACAACAAAGAATACAACAAAACAATTGGACTATAAAGTGAGGGAAAGGGAAGCAAATCACTAAAAATAAATAAAGAGCATACATACATAAAGTATATACGTTCAAATCGTATAAACACAATTGTCTTTTCTGACATTTCCCCAACAGTTTTATTTTCACAACCATTGCAACTGTTTCTTACATTTCTTATTTAATAACTTTTATATAAAATGTAAAAACTAAACTAAAACTAAGAGTCTGTATAAATGCCAATGAGATGGTTTTGTGAGGATTCGATGGCCCTAATTTCACAAGAGCAAGGCATGCCAAACCAGGGCAAGCAGTTAATTTTATTAATTAAAGTTCTTCTGATATCATCATAACACTGATGTTAGCTGTAGCAGGGAATCAAACTTACATCACCTGAAGCAATGGTCTAACCACCGTACCAACATCTCCCTATTCAGTATAGCACGTTTGAAGTGATATATGCAGCACACATGTAAAGTAGCATTTCTGTAGAGGATTTCACATCTGGCATTTGAAGACATTTCTAATGCTTATCCTAAAATGAAATAAGTCAACCAGATAAGGAAATATATAGCAATGTACAAGTGTCGTCGCATATTATCTACAATGTTTTATAATGCAATGTCATTCCATACTATAACTACTGTTAGGAAAAGTATATTCATCAACAGTTTAACAAATAAGCCAAAATAAGATTAAGTAAATGTCTCCCTCTATTTTGTACGTGTGTACAATACCAACTTTTTTATATGTTTTGAAAAATGTAAACACTCCATTTTATACGGAATTTGTCATTTTTAAGTGGCAGAAAAAGCATCTCAATTAATCATTATGTACCTATGGAAATTCGGAAGTTGCCTTGCCATTGTCTTACTGCCAGTCACGTATGGATATGGTCACTCTAAACATTCGTGCCAAGGGATGCCATACTGAATTCTCACCTTCATCAATCAATCATTCTTTATTTTACGTGCCAATATTGCCCTCAATAAAGTAGGCATCAGTCTACATTACAGCAGAACAGGAACGGTACAGGGGCACAGAGCAACAGGAATGGAAAAACACCCGTTACGACCTCAGCATCACGGAAGGAATGTCAGGATGCTGCATGATCAGTCAGCGATTGCAGCACAATTCATTTGTACCATCCTAAACTTGAATTCACGTTGAGATATCGAGTTGGGAAATAAGCACAATTATACTGTAAGTGCAACTATTAAACACTCCCTGGTGATTATACTTAGTTGCTAACAATCAGATGTAAAAAAGTTAGTGATAGGTGATGTGGTTTAACGTTTACAATTGCAAGTCTATCACATCCATTTCCTAGCAACTCTGAAAAATCCATCAGGAATAGAGCAATCGATTTCCGTAATATCAGCTTAATGTCAGAAATTAAAAGTAAGTTTTGTAATTTTAATGTTTTTTATTATTAAGCGTAGATCATCTATTTTTGTATACAAATTTCTGAAATATTAATTTTTACATGTCCTCATATAGCAAATGGTATCCAAAATTCATGGCACTGTTCTTTGATATAAATTAACCTCATGATTAGTTTCAGTACTTTTTTTTATTAAACATCGTAAACTATGATAGTTGAAATGTAATATCATGACAGCAACAGGTATTTGTTTAATGCCCCTTATTAACATTAAACTTGTATTACCCTTTTTCAGGTGCTTCCTGCCATAAAGGCTGCCATAAGCACTGCTGGGGAAATGGGATGAAATACTGCCAGAAATGTGAGTACAGTAAACATCACGGCACACACCCGCTCTGTCGCAACCCTCTACAGATCAATCAAGCATATAATGCTTTTGACATTTTATATTTTTGTTGTTGTAGTTGTTGTCATTTGATCAATGAGAGCTGTAAATACTCTTTGATTCTTTCGGTAAAGTCACGTAGGTATAAAATAAAATAAATCACGACGTTTCGGGCACAACACAAGCGTCCAACATCAGGTGGGAAAGCACCCACCTGATGCTTTCCCACCGGATGACGGACGCTTGTGTTGCGCCCGAAACGTCGTGATTTATTTTATTTTATACCTACGTGACATTACCGAAAGAACCAAAGAGTGAATTCCTGCAGTCACGAAAGCTTCAAATCAAGAGAGAGCTGTAAATGTTTCATACATGCAAGAGTTGTTTAATGAAAAAATGATTACTGCTGTCAGTTACAAATGTAGATATTTTAGAATGTAGCCTATGGACAAGATTTCAAATTGCATGGTTTAGAGTATTTGCAGAAAGGTACCAATTTTTTTTTCATAAGGCCATTGTTTCAAGTGATTTGTGAAACTTGCATATGCTGGTTGTTATATTGTTTATGGGCTGGTCGGCTGGATTGCATCATTGTTCAATATAAATGCTTATTCTGCTATGCGATTAAACGTTGAGTCCATGAGCATCGGAAAGAATATGCATTTTTGGCACCGAATATATGAATTGAATTGGATTTCTATCCCCTTTTTAGCATCTGGTAAGAGTTATTTAGCTATATAAAGTGTATCCCAGACACATGAGTTGGTGTCTTGTTCAGGTGACCACAACAGTGCTTGTACAGCGGTAGTTTTGAGAACACGCTGGTGTTAGACAAGCTTCCGTTTTCACTTTTAGACTTAGTTTAATAATGGAATAGTTCGACAATAAAAGCACATCACAAACATTTAAATGAGAAAAAATGGCTAACATACCTGAAGGAAATTTGAATATCCTCTTGTTACATCTAAATATGTTTTTTTTTTTCCCAACAGACAATGTAAACACATTTTTTATGCGTTTTTATATACCCTGTAACATTTCATGTTCATTAACCACCGCATAATTGCATTAATACTGCGCAGTATGATAACTATTTCGTGAATAAATTCACGTGCAGAAATTCAGATTTAAAAAAATTATGCAAATCACTCTTGCAATGATTTCTGTACTGTATTACAGAACCCGTTTTTGTACAGAATTTCAGTCAAAAAATCTCCAATTGTGTAGAAAAATTGGTTACCTGTTCATTCTATTTTAACGTAGCCATTTTTTTCATCTAAAGCGCCTAGAGAGTTTATGAAAAGCGCTATATAAGCTTGAATTCTTATTATTATTGTCCTCTTCTCAATATTCTAGAAAACTGCATTTTTAGCAAACTAAGAAATACGATTATTGTTTTTTATGTTTCGTTTCAACACTAACTTGGTATTCCAGGGATTTTTATCTGTAAACCAATTTAGCCACATGCTAAGAGGGATAATGCCGATGATCAAGAATAGTGATGGACTGGCAGCCAAGGAATATAATGCAGCCTTCAGTATGTCCAATGTGCAGGTGCTAGGTAGATTGTTAGATCGCAGAACTGTGAGAGATGGCGATGCATTGGGGAGGCCTTCATCCAGCAGTGCCTTGACCATGATAATCACGGACAACTTCTCAGCCACCATGGCACGTCCATTAAAAGGATGATGAATCATTATCATTGTGACTGATGATGACGACGACGATGTTGTTGCTGCGTTAAGCAGCAACACGTGGGTAATTGGGAAGCAACAGTGTGAGATTGCGTTCTGCTGACATCTGCGTGGACTTGTGCCGTGGCAGTCACCAAGCTGACGTGCGCACGGCAGTGCGATGGCCGTTGCCATGGCCCTACTCCCAGTGAATGCTGCCACTCCCAGTGCGCGGCTGGGTGTGATGGTCCACGGGACACACACTGCTTTGTGAGTACACCCCTCTGTCACACAGAACAACAGCAATGTTATGTTGAAGGGCACTTCGGTGTGACGAGATGTTAACTCCCTCGCCTGGTATACAGGTGCTTGTGGGTTAGATCCCGACTCTGAAGCCTGTATATTTAGAGTCTGCATGTTCTCCCCGTGGTGCCGTGGATTTTTCTCCGGGTTCTCCTGTTTTTCCCTCCACATTTCAAATCAACATCCGTTTAGAATGTTTGGCTGCTGTACATTTCACTTCTTCGTTGAGCAATCATTTGTGGCTAGAACGCTTCTGAAAAAGAGCTTCTTACCTGTTAAAATTAAAATAGTTTAGTTTCATAAATAGTTTATATAGTTTAAAATGCCTTATAATATGGCAATGTTTCTCGCCCCCCACCACCACTCATCACTTTGCTTCTATTTTCCTATGACCAGGCATGCAAAAACTTCAATGACAGTGGTTCCTGTGTGAGCCACTGCCCTCCACCTACCATCTACAACCCCGTCACCTTTGCACAGGGCGAAAACCCAGACGTCAAATACAGCTACGGTGCCATCTGTGTCAAGGAGTGTCCACGTAAGAAGCACACATGCTGTGTTTTTGTCATGAAATTGCTCGACCTGCTATGCTTGAGCCTTCCTCAATCTTCACTCTCCCTTCATTTGTCTACCCTTTTCTCCTTTTCTCCAAGCCATCCATCCCCTCCCTTCCCACCCCCTTCTATCATTCTGTGCTTTCAAAAAAAATCTATGAATTTCTGATTTGTGGAGGCATCATCATTTGTTACAATTGTCCCACACACCAGGGGATGGGTATTCATAAAGCTGCCTCTTGTTAGTGTGCACCACTGCTGCAGGACAGAGATCGACACTCGTTCAAAGAAAATATCCCACTTCTTTCCTTTGTCCTTTTATTACTGTTTGGGAACATTTCATGAAATTACTTGGCCTCTGATGGGCACCCAAAGAAACGCCATTTTTGCAATCACAAAGTCACGTTAAAAAAAATTGCTTTTCATCATTGTTGTTATTCTTTCATAATGTTGACGATAATAATGACATATGAGAGGTTGAAACTTTGCATAGACACGTCAAAAAAAGAATGGACAATCAGCGCTGCATGGTGAAGGCGACATGAACCATTTTGGTGGCCTGGTTTTAAGCCACTACACGGCACAGTAGATCCACCTCATCAGTTCGGAAATCATATTTTTTATTATATTTTAACTTGCCTAAAGCCATAATAAATAAACTTTAGCAATAGCCTGGAATGTTTCAAACGTAATTTGAAACCGTGTTTATTTATTTATAGCTGACTAAGTGGCTCAGCGGTCGAGTGAGCGGTCGAGCGAGGAAGCGAACGAGCGGCTCGCAACTGGAACATTGCGAGTTCAAATCCTGGTGGGGGGTTGACTCAGCACATCATGCCTCCTGGAGTTCGTAGAGTGACTCCCGATTTGTGCGGAAGTCAACATCAATTGGTTCTCCGAATGGAAAGACTTGCCCCCGGCCATTGGAATGTGGATTTCCACCGTTGGCTTAGGGCTGTAAACGGGAGATGAGCACTGCCTCACTATTCATTTTAGTAGCAAATCCCATGACTTCTGTTTTTACTCTTTAATCCTTTTAAAATCTGGAAACTTCATAGAATATGGTAGGGGTAAGCAACCAGAAAAACAAGAAGAGCCGCAATGCACGTAAATACGAGACGGAGGACCATAATAAGTAACGTCACGAAACAGTTCCTTAAAGCGCCGCATGTGGCTCCGGAGCCACATGTTGCCGACCCCTAGGGATAGGGAAATACAAATTGTGGCATTATTAATCAGCATGTGTTTCTTTTAAGTCCCAAAATGGGAAGGTAAACTCACCTTTATGGTTTTTTGGAATTACGTTTCAGACAACTGATGCTAAATTTTTTTCTTAATTTTGCCAATATTCCAAAAATAACCGTTTCTTAGACCATTAGCATGGGATGCTTCATCTCCACAAATACAACAAAAAACATATATGTAATCATTTTCTTCAGGAAATATCACAGGTCTTCCAATGCAAACTAAAAATAAGCGAATTGAGAATATATATATCAATACTTTAGTTTTTTATGTAGTTTATACTTTAGCTTTCTACGTGTTGTTGAGTAACTGCAGCTACATATCATTAACATTCCTTTCCTTTGTTACTGCTAATCCCTGCACCCCCCTTGGTTGCTGCTGATCCTGCATAATGCATGGGCATAATATGACTTTGACACCCCCCCGCCCAACGCCTACGCATTTTCCATGAATATGCTAAATCCCTCTTCACATGCACATTCTTTTTGTTAAGGCGCTCTTCAACCCCCAATGCAGCTTATATATAAGCTCCTAGTTTGGTAGTGTCTCATTCTTCACCTGAGGACGGCTGCTTGCGTTGTAGCCGAAACGTCGTGAGAATTGTTTTATTATGTTTTATTTTTATTATTTTATTACTTCCCTTCTACGTGACTTTACCGAAAGAAACAAGAAGATGAATATATATATCATCACAATGAGTTCCCAATTGGTATAAATATACACCTGGGTTACAAAAATAGCTCTGTTATTTACACCAAAAAAATAGCTTTTTTAAATATTAACACGTGGTGAGATTATTTCTTAATCACCACATAATTAACAAAGAAGTTTAGAGACATTTCTACTTCGGTGATTTTCTTTAGATAACATGAATACTGCCGTGTGCTTACCCATCAGTGCATATCCAATTAATGTGCTTTATAATTGATATTGAATTGCCATTTATACATGCCCCCCATTTATTTATAATCCTGCTATTGAGGTGAGCACCTTACAGAACGACTGCCAGGTAAGCGACAATGTGTAAGGTTGTAAAATTTTAATCTTGATCGATCAAGGGGTTGGTCAAGTGGTTGATCGATAATAAATTACATTCAAAACTCACTTTCTACAACTTGCAAGCAATCTCTTTGATGAAAGTGTCCTATTTATTTTGCATAGATTTTTGTTTGTTTGGGGAGTTGGGGGTGGGCCGGGGGAATCATTCAGGCTTGGCTTATTTGAAGCAATGTAACATGAGACGTGAACTACTGTACATTGATGCTGGACTCGTCCCACGCGCGGCATCCCGCAGATAATTTCGTGGTGGACTATAATTCATGCGTACGAGCGTGCCCAGCCGGGAAGCATGAAGTGGAAAAATTCGGCAAGAAGAAATGTGAGACCTGTACCGACGTCTGCCCTAAAGGTGCCTCCTGCATGTCTGGGTGTCACCAGAGTGCTTTTCTTTTTACATACACACACAGAATCAGAATATGTATTTAACCTGGAGGAACTCAATGAGTGATAATGCTCCTTTTTCAAAGATGTTATAGTAGATGTGTCCAATCCAATATTCAAAACCTGCCATTCGCCACCAATTGACAGTGATGTCACTACAGCGCATGTGCCAAACGTGTCCACACTCACACACACATAGGAAAAACGATACTAATCGTGTGTACTCTGAAGAGTCTTACTTATTGTCAGCTATGCCGGAAAATGTTTTGCATTGTTTGACCATCACCAGTTAATGTAACCAGCTGCTAGCATACTTTTAAGGTGTATGTTTATTTATGAGGGACGGTCAAAACTTTTTAGAATATGTAACGAAATGTACACAAAATCTCAGCTATATCAGATAGTCTCTTATCATAGTAACCCCTAATGGCCATGCACTTATTTGATGTTGTGATTAATACATAAACATGTTTCAGCAATAGCCTAGTATTAAATCAGTGTGCGATATGCTTTGCATATTTTATATAAAATATTTCGACCACTACTTGTATTAATGTAGATTTCTGAAAGCTATTTCACACACATGTCATATCAATTTAAGCCAGATGATTTAGGGAGAAGAGGAAACAGGGAATTATTGAGTTAGAGGCAGTGTTAGAATGGGCCTCTTGGCAACCAGTAATTTTGCCGAGTGAGCCGCTCCTGGAGTTGAGCCACAGCATTATTTTGTGATGCTTATATCTCAACTTCAATCCTATTTTAACTATGTTTTTTTTTACCAGGTAAGGCCCATTGAACTGTATAGCTCTTTTCAGAAGCAACCTGGCCACGAATTCGCTGAATTAAGTGGTGATCATGTGGAAATGTATAACAGCCAAATATTCTAAATGCATGTTTCTAAATGTGGAGGGAAAAACCGGAGGACCCAGAAAATAATCCATGCGATCACGGGGAGAACGTGCAAAATCAAAATATACAGGCATAAGGTTTGGGTTCGAACCCATGATATTATGTATACCAGGCGAGGTTGTGAACATCTTGCCACCTTGGCGCCCATTCCACCAGTACGTGGGTAAAGTTGAACTGGGCATACAGTGGCCCCTACTCTAGGACCTGCTTATCAGGTAAATTTCCCTGCTTATCAGAGAAATGCTCAGAGGCGTTTTTGTATGGTACAAAGCTTGCTAAATGTGTCTGCGTTTGTTGAGTGGTTATATGTGTGTGTGCGTGCAGCACTGTGCTATAAACCCGGCGAGCCGAGTTTGATTTCCGCTCATGGCCAACAGCAGTAACGATTATCTGAAACAGTCCTGGGCCTCTCCAAGGTCGACTCAGCCTCAAATGAGTAACTGGTGCTGTGTATAAACGTAGCCATTCGGGAGACAAAGGCGGTTCAGTGTGGTGCTGACCACCCACCCCCTTCGTGTGCCGTGGCAGCCTTCGTAGATGCTCGCTGACAGCACTTGGTCCTACAGTCTGTTAAGGCTATTTGGAGGATCTTTGCCTTTTATGTCTTTGCAGCGTGCGATGGGATAGGAACAGGAAACCTAAGCCGATCACAGACGGTGGATGCTACCAACATAGATACATTTGAGAACTGCACAAAAATCAATGGAAACATTGCATTCCTCACCACAGGCATCAAAGGGTAACCATCAAATTAAATCTTTACATTTTGTCATATGATGATTGTTTCCGCTTCGGTGCTCTTTGGGTTTATACGTCTGAAAGAACGTTGTTGAAAAATTGTCCGCATGCTACTCGTGCTGAAGATTTTCTTTTTTTTACAATAGAATGTGAACAATGCTTTTATTTTGGAACACAATTTGTCGATACGTATTCGTCTTCCATTGTATTTAACATTGGGGTTTACATGTTCCAGTACACATATCCAACATTCCATGTACTGCATGCACTTGTATTACACATAACTGTATTAAACATAACATTGTATAAAAGTTGTGTTGTTAAAACCTAATTCCATTAAAATGACGAAGTAAATATTCATCAGTACTATTAAGAAAAAGCAACCCGGAATTGTATATTTAATTTTGAACTAATTGTAGCCATACTATGTTTCAAACTAAATACTTATTTTAAGAGCAATTTTAGGTTGATGTTCTGGTCATTACGTAGTTGTATTCAGTATTTAACTTCACTGCCGCTACTCCTGTGATTAATGTGCCATATATTTCTCCATTTTTTTCCAAGGGATGATTACATGAAAATCCCACCTCTTGATCCTGATAAGCTAAACGTTTTTCGCAGCATTAAAGAGATAACAGGTACTGTTGATATTTTTTTTTTATACAGTTTAAAAAATAACAATACCCACTTTCTAAATACATTGAAGGGAGAATAAAACTACGCATCTTTAGCAATTTCGTCCAACATAGTTCATTGCTGATATTTGCACATTTTGTAATGGAATGCATCACCATTGTTGCCATAGTTTTCTATATATAATTTGTAGTTATTATATGATACTAAATGTTATATATTGCTGTGTGTTTTGTGTTTGTGTGTTCTATTAAGGTCATCTTATGATTCAAGCTTGGCCAGAAAATATGACAGACTTTGCTGTTTTTGAAAACCTCACGACAATCAGAGGCAGAGTGTTACAGAGGTACGGTTTTAGTGATGACCTGTTCATGCATATTCAGGTTACTCTACTCCACACAATCTGCGTCTGAATTCCACTTTGTTCACAAAAAACACAAGAGAGCCAAATGGCTGTGATGCATGATGCATGTGAGCAGAGGCAGTTAGGTTGGCGAGTTGGCATGTGCACCATCCTTAAAGTTCAGAGTGAAACTTTATGAACGTACACCAACGAACTGTAAAACCACTGCAATAAACGATAAATTCAACATTGTCACGAAATCTCGAGTGGACAACGTTTCTGACTTAACAACGCTGCAGTCAAAGTGACTGCTGTTAAATTGCTAAAGGGACCGTAACGGACACCAATTGCCATTCAGCCTCGTGTGTGCCTCACAGTCTTTAGTGATGCTTCATATTTTCGAAGGAAAGTTTTGTAGCTTATATACCTAGCATTTTGCGGGCCAAAAAATATTTCAAAACTACTCTTAAAAACCTCACAGCAGTGCGTACTGACTGTAGTGGTACCTGCTACGATTACAGCAGTGCATACCGACTACTGTGGTGGTACCTGCTATCACTACAGTAGTACATGCTGACTCTATAGTAGTATTTATCGACGCTATAGCACAAAGTACTCGCCTGACAGTGGCGTGGTGAGGCCTAGTCCCGTGCAGAGCCTCCGGCCTCGCCTAGATTGTCCAACCAGCCGAGGTGGCACCTTGGCAGGCTGGGCTGCTACCCCTGACCCCCCCCCCCCCCCCCAGCTATGATCTCCCCGGCCGCTCTGCAGTAATATCTACGGCCTATAGTGGTTGCATCTACCGACTGTACAGTAGTAACTGCACGTATCGGGGTGTGGGGGGGGGACATCACACAGTGAAGAATTTACCTGAGTGTTTAGTGTATTTTTATAGGATTTTTAACGAGAAATAAAATGCCCCCCTCACTCCTACCGAAGGCATGCGACTTGGTATGGGCCGTCCCCCCCACCAAAGGCGAGTTGGTATGGGGAGCGCACAAAAAAAACGCTCAAAATCGCTAATGAAACTAATTAAAAGTTGACGGATGTGAAAAAGGAACAGCGCTTGCTCACGGCAAGGGATCATGTCTGCATTAACCGCACATACTTGTGGAGAAAATGCAAACAAAAACATGCTCTGGTAATATTTGCATGACTTTGAAACTGATCCACACCAGAGACAGCTTTCTTTAGAGCCTAGTCTCAAATGGTGTTAGACCAGAGAACGCCAAAAGGCAAAGAGCACAAAGACCATGCACTATCAGGACATTGAGAGCTCGGGGTGAGCAGCTAACATCATAACACCTGTTTTATTGCCAGAAAAGGTAAAACCAATTCTTATATTTTGATACTGGCAAGAAAGGGCCCATGATATAGCTGCTCACTCCGAGCTATACATGCCCTAATAGTGCATTGTCTTTGTGCTGTTCACCTTTTGGCGTTCTCTTGTTTAAAACTGTTTGAGACATCTTAACACCTGTTTTATTTCCAGAAAGAGTAGAATCAATTCTTACACACTGATTTACTGTATGGTCCATAGTTTCGGTTGCTTGGCCAGTCTCACTGGCTTTTATTTAATTTTCCATTCATGAAGGACATGTGTGCATATTGGCCTGTTGATAATCTGATGAATTTATGGTACACTAGTGTTATTGAAGAATATAAAAGCCAGGAGGTGCGATGTTTTGGTCAAAAAATAATTGTTATTTTATTCTGGACATCCACATTGCTCCATTATGTTCACCATAACTCTTCTGGAGCCAGGTGAGATTCTAGAATGGTGACAGCATAATTTGAAAATGGGGATTGGGACTTGAGTTAGCGGCAAGGTGCATTGTTGAGGTCTTGGTTAATGTATAGTTTATCGTTGACAAGAAAATGTGTAAACTCCTTTGCAGTTTGCATGTCTCTTCAGATATTTGGTGGCACAATGTTCACCAGAACACTATTCTTTAACACGTAGGCTTTCGCGACCAATATCATCGAATAACATAGGTTGTTTTTTTCTGGGTTAGATCGCGTAAATATAAATGTGTCGTTAAACCCACCACCACCCGACAGCCAATTAGTAAGGTTTGTCACGTCAACAGAACATGCCAATTCGTTATTTATCCTCACATTACACTAGTACAGCACGCTGGTGTGTTGGAAAAAAAATCTACAAATATGGTTGTCCCCCGATGAAGCTAGTTGTAATTATTGGCGAAACGTCGTACTCAGTTTGTAAATGTTGTGGATTGGCTCTCCAACACGCCGGTGTGCTATACTAGTAATGAATTGGCATTTTCTGTTTACATGACAAACCTTACTAATTGGCTGTGTCGGGTGGTAGTGGGTTTAAAAAACGATATTATGGCAGAACACTATTGTTTCCAGTTTTCTGGTTATGATACTCATTGCACATTGCGTGATATATTTTTGTATCTAGCAGTTTTGTCGACGACCTTCCAGACCAGGCTAGAGCACAGTGACTGCCACTGAGTAGATCAGTGAGATGGTGGTAGTTCACAGCACATAAGCCTAGGCACTGCAAGATCGTTCCTGAAAATTTTTGCAGCAGGGCGAGTCTCGATTTGTTTTTTTTCATAGATCTTTTTTTATGTGGGGCTTGAAGGTCAGGCTTCTGTCCATAATAAACCAGATATATATTGGAGTAGAGTCACAGCACATTGGGCTAACACAGAAGGATACATCAATGGTGGCATCTGCTGCATGATTGTTCAAGTGGAAAGTGCTTGTTGTGATTTTGGAAAGATTTGGTCAGAGTCTCCTGCAATGGAAATATGCCTTCAATAACATTCGATCAGGTGTTAGAGTATTGGCAATGTTCTAGAGATATGTGCCCTGTGCAGCAAGTACAATGTGATTGGCATTTATAAACTTGCAAGATGATGTACATGGCATGTCACTTATATATGTTAGATAGTGATGGTACATATATAGTTATATATATTAACAGAGATATAAACAAGCATAGTCCAATAGATGCATGTGCAGGAAGGATTGATTAATCCGTATTACTCAAACATAATAATAGAGTTTATTTCAAGATTACAAGTGTCTTTGGGGAACAGAAGACATTTCCCATTAGGGAGCCGTGTAAAGGAATAAGAGTACAATATCCCTCGGTAATACAGATTTCTTTTAGGTAAGATCACGTAAATATATTGATGTGTCGCTAAACCCGCCACCACCCAACACAGCCAATTTGAACGACATATTTATATATTTACGCGATCTAACCCCAAAAAAACCTGTGTTATGGATGATATTGGTCGCAAAAGCCTACGTGTTACAATATCCCTGTTCTCCCCATGTTTGCACTTGAGAGAAGACTTGTGGGCACATGTGTGTTTTATTCAACACGAAACAATCATTAAACATCATTGTAGTATGTACAACACATGCGTTAACCAATAAATATCAGGCAGTTCAACAGGCCTGACACTGTTGATGACACACTAAATGTTGAAACTGGTCCAGAGTTTGCTTGTGTTGAACCAATCTGCTGATACATCTCACTCCCACAAGGTTGTGTGACAGACGGAATATGTAAAAATATTATTATTTTAACGTGGACGGATAGATATGTGAAGACGACATGATTGCAGATTTCAATTGTTGACACAAATGTACACTTCTCTGCACATGGTTATGTAATTATAAAGTTCCAGCTGTTTTTGTCACCACCTAACTAATTGGGAACCCGTAATGTTTGGTAGTTTTATCGAAGGGGAGCCACATTTACTCCACATTTGCTTTCATTGCGTAACTTGCATAACCATGGTTCATGCACTGCTCTATCTTGTTGAAATTTCGCAATTAAAGAAACACAAGTTAACACAAAGCCTGCGATCTACATTTCAACTATTTGACCGTATCCATTGCTTTACTTTTTTTGTGTGGTATATTATATGACGTTGGCTTTTTGTGGTGTGCGCAGGACCTTTTCTCTTCTTGTGGCTCGCATCCCCAACATCACGGCACTGGGGCTAGCCTCCCTACAGGAAGTGAGTGCCGGCAATGTCTACCTCAAGAATAACGAACGTCTGTGCTACTACAATACCATCAAATGGCCTGCGGTGTTTGTGAGCGAACAACAGACGTCATACGTTCACGACAACAAGCCAGAAGCCGACTGCAGTAAGCGTCTCCCAGCGCTCTCCACTTATCGTTCGGATATCTATAAGTGTGTACATTTGTGGGACAATAATTGTGTTATCTTTTGAATGCAGTCGATTCCTATTCACATAATGTTTGAGGGGGTTTTATTTATTAGATAAGGTCTGTGGAGGAGGTAACACTGCCTAGACATCACTAGAGCGTTTGTATTCATCTAAAGTGCTGAAGTTGAAAAGCGTATTTGATTCAAAAGTGGTTTTAATCTGTTCTGCTGGAATGTCACACGCATTATGAATTGAAATGTTACTGTTCTAGAATATATTATGCCATGGTGGAAGGCCTATTGATAGTTTGCAATGGATATACACAATTACACAAAGGGTTTACCAATATTTTACTTTAAAAATGAAATATTGTATGTATTTATATATTAATTTTTCGTGTACTTGACAGGATTAGAGATGTAGAAATCACAGCATAATTAATTAAACCCAAGAAAACAGTGCTTTCAGTGCTTCCATGGGTTCATTACGAGTTGGAATTCCTCATACAAGCATTCCCTAAATGTAATCTTACTCAGTTTTTTTTCATTTTTAAAACTAAACTTTATTATGGATTACATATGACTAAACAAAGACATAGATCCCCTATTTAGCCTGAACAGACTGTTGGGGCAAGTGCTGTTGGCGAGCACCTATGAAGGCCGACATGGTACACGAGGGGGTGGGTGAACAGCACCACACCCGGCCGCCTTTGTCTCCCCAGTGGCAATGTTTACACACCGAACTGGGTACTCATTTGTGGCTGAGTCGACTTAGGGGAGGCCCAGGACCAGTTAAGATAATCACTGGTGTTGGCCATGAGCAGGAATATAACTCGGGTCACCGCTTACCACAAATGGCAGTATACATGCACACCCACGTTATAAAATGTTAATCTGGTATATATTTGCTGTATGGAAACTTTATAAAGATTGTGGTTCTGCTCTTAAGTTTTTCATTACATACCTTTTCTGTCGAAATGTATACAAATGGAGTCATAAACTTAGTTAATTGTGAAATGTTTGGTGTGAATGCACAATGGAGCATGAATAATGCTCCTCTGATATCAATGCAATGTCTTCAAACATACCCCTGCTCATTTTTAGAAATTGCAATGACTAGTTGTGACTAGTCATGTGAAATCCATTCAGAATTTCTAACTTATACTGAAAACATTTTTAGAGGATGCTACATGAGCTTCCAATTACACTTCGCATGAATTGAGCACAATTAAGTCTGTATCCATATAGCTATAAACAAACATTTGTATGTATGTTAAACTTCGTTCTCATCGTACGTTGTCAACCGCATTATTCGGAGGTGTGATCTTTGCAGCTAGAGATTGGTTCAGAAATATAGTTGGTTGCATTATTTTTTTTAGTATAAACTCCATTAGGTGAACCTCATGGCTGCCTGTTTTTCTTGCATTTTTAATGGCAATTATTAAATGATACGTTTTGGTTGTCATTCAGTTTGCCATGAAAATGTATGCCATGTTCCAAAAAAACTCTTATGGATGATATTGGTCGCGAAAGTCTACGTGTTAAACTTCCAATGACCATTGGCAATTATGCTGGCTGACTCAGTTCTCAACCTAGGAGGGAACCAGAAACCCACATTAGTCCAGGCCAATTGGAGCTTCTGGCCCAGGTTACCAGGCATCCTTTTGTAATTGTGCTGCTTGCTTTTACATGGGGTAACCCCAGACGCGATTGTAAATGTCACGGAGTCAACGCAGAAGCGAGCCACACAGGCCACAATATTCTCCGCGTAGTTAAACTTGTCAGCCATGTTTGCGTTTAAGACGCAGAGTTAATAGCACTTGTATGCCTCGTTTCCATGACCACTGGGAGCCAGGCTCTGCCAGGCCACTTCTCTCCCAAGCCAGGTCCAGCATCAGCACCAGAACCAGGTCGTACACTCTTGATGCTCTGTGGGCTCAGCCCTTCCAACTCCATTCCCTCACAACTCCTCTCCCTCGCTAGTATCCACAGCCACGGGAGCAATCTTCATTTAAAGTTTTAACAAATAATTGTACAATCTTGGCAGACATTTGTGTTCAAGATTGCTGAGTACATTCGAATGTATGCATGCACAATAACGCTTACATTATGCAGGGACTTTATTCAAAATGGCACAATTGGTGATTGTATTTCTGTGTTTTTATTTGTTTAGCTTGCGAATGTTTGCAGAAGTGTCGATGTGTATGTCCATTGCAGATGCGGATGGTGCTGTATGTGACTTGCTATGCTCGGAGCATGGCTGCTGGGGGCCTGGCCCTGACCAGTGTATCTCCTGTCAGTTCTTCCGCCGTGCCCGCTCCTGTGTGGAATCCTGTTACATCACTGAGGGGTCAGCCGCACACAGTACCCATCATTCACTTGTGCATGTGTAGTGGTTCAACGCGATCATATTCGATAATGGCTGCATGTCCGCGCTGGGCAACCAGAAGAGGCGGTTGGTGGTATCAACCCGCTGAGACAGCGAGACACATGGCCCTCTTCTTGGTTCTTTCGGTAAAGTCACGTAGAAGGGAAGTAATAAAATAATAAAAATAAAACATAATAAAATTATTCTCAAATTCCTTTGTCAATGCGCCCAGCTTATATATATGCTCCAAGGTCGTGTGCTGTTTCATTCAGACTCTGTCGCCTCGACGGACCTGGTTTTCACCTGAGGACGGCTGCTTGCGTTGTGGCCGAAACGTCGTGAGAATAATTTTATTATGTTTTATTTTTATTATTTTATTACTTCCCTTCTACGTGACTTTACCGAAAGAACCAAGAAGATGAATCCCTGCAGTCACGAAAGCTTTAAATCAACACACGGCCCTGTAAAGATCAGGAGTAGGACGCTAAAGGCGTGAACTACAGTCCCTACGTCGGCACGCATAACGAGAGGGGTGAGAAAAGGAGAGTAGAGAATAGGATAGGGACGCGGCGAGTGAGGGAGCGAACGATCGATGGACGGCAGATACTCGGCATAACTAAAACAAGTGTTATAAAAACAGACTGTAATAAAGTGGCCTGGGAAGATGATATGAAGTCGTCTGCCTTTATTTACAACACTACATCAATGGTCAGGCTTGAGCAACTAGTTTGCTGAACAACGAACGCAACTGGGACGCACAGCAGAATTATGTATAGCAAGAGCAGTTATTGAAGATAGATGGGGATGCAAGTGTACACTGACAAAACTAAAATAAAACAAAATCTGAAAATAATTATGGAGAGATACATGCTTGGGAATTATACCAAAACAAATTGACAAACATCGATCAGGGAGCAAATGCAAATAATATTGAATGCATCATGTTGACGTTTAAGAATAATAAGTAGTATTAAGTACAACGCATTGCTGAAGCTGATGGCCTTTGGAAAAAACTGGTAATAAGAATTATTTGCAAGGGAGACCTGGAATGCGATAAGTACAGTACAAAATAGCTTGATGCAGAAAAACAATGCAACTATTAAATCTACGTAAATATAAAATTCTTCATCAGTTATATGTGCAAAAACAATCATAAAACAAACTTCTGCTCGACATTTAAAACAAATAATTCGCACAATTTTCACAACACCAGCCACCTGAGTCACCTACAGCAGAAAGTCAGTGATGATTACATATCGTAAAGTCGCTATAATTTCATGCATTATAAATTGCAGTTCTCTCCCTCATAAGTGGTGCTTTGAAATAATAAATTGTATTGTTTTATGTGAAGAAGTTGATAGACTAAAAACAAATGTTTAGTTTGGAGAAATACATTATTACATTTTGAAGTCATGCTAATTCAAGACATTATCAATATAAAGCATGGAGACATGTACCCCATGCGTAAAAAAAAAGGAATTGACACACTTTATTGTGTTTCCTGCTTCTTGAGTGTTCTATAATTCATGGTTCCATTTGAATTCTTCACAAGCTCCTGATGTTCCTGCAGAGCACGCATCACATGGCAGGCTGGCATAGGCTCAAACATAGTTTTGCTCCACGTTTGGCTGTGAGGAATGTTCTGTGAAATGGTGTGCGAAATGTGGGAAAAGCCATATCCACTGTCAGTCAGAATGTATCATTGTCATATATATCCAGATTGCAACTTTAATTTGGGTTTGCAACTTTTTATAAATTGTAATCAAAATGTTTTGTTTCAAGATGTAAAGATTTCAGTCTGTGACAGTGTTTCACGTTGTGATTCATTGTACATAACTCAAAGGAATGCTTATAACGTCCCCATGTTAGTGTATATTAATTCTAGTTGGCACATTTTCAATAAACATTTAAAAGTGCGTATTTACAACATTACTAAACTTTAGTTATTCATGTCTTTCAGCATCGTTTAACAACTTGCATTTAACTTTCATTGGTATTGGTATTTATCACACATATAAAACACATCTCATTGAAAACGATGTATCTATGTTATCATTTATTGCATATCATTTATTGCATTCGATAAATGAAGGACACAATGTTTGCTTGTTTATTTTGTTACCTTTTTATAAGTCGCTGGTTAATTAAAAATTAATTCGCTCTGAAAATGCATGGTACACTGGGAATGAACTAAAACATATGCAAACTGCAGAGCATGACTAATAATTTCAGTAAATGATTCTTTAAATGTAACTATTAAAGCGCTAACTACCATAATACCTTTTTATTTTTTGTATTTGTAACAGTCCATTATCTGTGATATGAACCTTTGTCGCAAATGTACACGCAGACATTGAGCCATGAAACGTCATCTACCCCCATCGGTGCACTTGAGATACAAACAAGAAATATTTTCAATTATATTCAAGCATAAGTACTTATCGACTGTACCATAGTATGTTCTACTCGTTGCATATGGATATTTTGTCATCATTGAAATTGTGTTAAGAAATTCCTCTGGAGGAATACCACAAACCAGCAACACTTGTGCATTCAAGATGTATTGAAAAGTAACAAAATGCAGAGACTTTGATGTGCTCATGGTCACATTTATATGACTGCCAAACTGGTCCCGCCAACCAAAAATCGAGCTGTAGCCTGTAAATATAATACACTAGGGTTAATATAACAGTGAAAGTAGCACTAGGATTATGCGAATATTGTTTTTCTGGATGAGAGTATTACCATATATTTTTTGCTAAATAAAAATCGAACAAGGATGCCAGTATTTAAACGTGATTTTTTTTAGAGCACATTAAATAATCTGAACATTAAATGTAGCCAAGATGGCTGGCCTTTAAAACCAATATCGTAAACTGTTTTGCAGCTTCATGATCTTATACCTACGTGACTTTACCGAAAGAACCCAAGAGTACAGCTTCATGATTTGTTTCAAATCAGCAATGCATTTATTAAAGGTGCAGAGCAGTGAAAAATCTGTGATCAATTCATAAATAAGAGTTCTAGGGTGTCTGTAAACAAACAAGTGGTATATTTGTTATAATGTTCCATAAATATATGCTAAGGTCGTGTCTTGTAACCTTTTTAATTAACCAAACTCTGATATTGCACTATCTTTTCAAAATCTAGTGTTACATTAACCCCAGTTGGTGATACTCATCATAGCAGCAGTGCCATACCTCTTTTTGCTGATAATTCCACGCATGCCTGTATGCTATTTAAGAGTCAGTCTACGTTACTCAACGTGCACCGCATCGCAATTCCACTGCGGTTTGATCGCCGTACAATTTCTGGTTCATTTTGCTGACGGTTTTTTTCGCGTGCCTCTGCGAGCGCAGGCCATACCGCGAGCACATGCAGGATGCCGTGTGTGCACCTTGCGACCCCGAATGCCTCCCTGTGAACGACTCGGTCACCTGCTTTGGCCCGGTACATACACATCCCCTCCCCGCTCCTCCCCAACAGCTTATTCCATGTATTCACAACTTGGCTAATCTATTATTAAGAGCTTTGTTTATTTTATTTTCTATTTTATTGTACCAGCTAACACCTCCGCTGCCACAACTGCCACTTCGGAAATATTGCTTACAGGTTTTACATAATTTATTGCTGCTGCGGGCAGACATATGCTGCAGCCACAATTCATTTATGCAAAAAGCACAATGCTAAGCAGAGAATCTCATGCATGTTTTAGCAGATCTTTAACCCATGTGCCTCCAGTTTCCATTAGTTTTGCATATAAATTGGTACAAAAATATCACTGCATGAGTTACATAAAGAATGGTAATTTCTATTAAAAAAAGATTTCATTGGCTAATTGTCCCTACACCTTTGAAATAACAAAGCCTCTCAAAATATTGATGCAATGCTTGTTTAATGTTATATACATCTAGATTTGCTTACTATCAGAACCAAACAATTTCCATTTCAATACATTTAAAATTGGCAATTAATGGTTTACACGAGTATATCAAGAAAAAGACTAATCAGGATGGGCAGAAGCAAAAAAAGGGACATTTTTTTTTGAAATATACTATTTAAACAGAGTTGTTTGATTTCGTGGAGAGATCGTAATGTACACAGACAGGAGATGGGTGTAAGCAATAATTGGAGATAATCAGCACAAGAGATGATGCTGAAAGGTGAGACTAACAGAAGTTCCGTTCTGATGCCTTTTTAACAGGGCTCCAACAGCTGCGTGCGTTGTGCGCACTACAAGGACGGCCCCCACTGTGTGAGTGCGTGTCCCGTCGGGGCACAGGGTGAGAATGACGAGATCATCTCAAAGTACCCCGACAAGAACAATACTTGCCAGCCCTGCCACCCCAATTGCTCCCACGGGTGAGCGCACACAAGCACGGCATCCACAAGCGCACACTCGCAGGCACAAGCTCCGGGATCAAACGTGAGCAAGAGTGAGCGATCTGTCCCTTTTTAATGTGCTCAGCATCACAAAAACCATTGTAAAGGTCAACAGATGTATAGATTGCAGAACCCCCTAGGTGTTGGAAATGGGAGCCACACACACGCTCATGGAAATTCTAATCCGAGAAAAGGAATTGGCACGCACACGCGTACACATGCATATCACGGCTCCTTCGTGAACTCGCTTTTTTTCTCTCGTAATTAGACCGACATTGTATATAGAATTATTCAAAGAATGAATAAAAACAATGAGACTTTTCAACATATTCATGTCATTCATGGCTGGTTGGAAGTTTTTTTTATTTCTAAAATAAACTGGAGATTTGTTCTGTTGTTGCTCTTTTATTGGATTCCGGGTGAACATTTGCACAATCAGTGCAGTCACAGTCACGCACACTGATTCACATATTATCCTGGGAGGATCGTCATTTTCAATCACAGAGAGCTCTTCTTAATAAGCTGCCCATTGCTATGCTAAGTGTACAGTTGAGGCCATGCATTTTTCATAGTAAAGAAGGTGGATGTCCCTGAAAAAATTGTTGCGCTTGACTTAAAAAAAACTACCAACATCATCTTCTTCTTCTTGGTTCTTTCGGTAAAGTCACGTAGAAGGGAAGTAATAAAATAATAAAAATAAGCATAATAAAACAATTCTCACGACGTTTTGGCCACAACACAAGCAGCCGTCCTCAGGTGAAGAACAGACGGCTGCTTGCGTTGTGGCCGAAACGTCGTGAGAATTATTTTACTATGTTTTATTTTATTATTTTATTATTTCCATTCTACGTGACTTTACCGAAAGAACCAAGAAGATGAATCCCTGCAGTCACGAAAGCTTTAAATCGAAATTTATACAGCCCTTTTAAATATGTTCAGGTCTGGTTGAATAGTATGTGGGATACGTTGCTTTGGTCTGGCGGGCACAGGCCACGTGCAGTTAGCCATCCCCAGAGTCAGAGGGGGAGGCAGGAAACTGCGGTAGGCCGAGCAGGCCACTCCAATCCTGGGTAAGCATTCAGGAAAAGAGGCTGTAGAGGTGGGCTTAAATTACTTCCACCAGAATTAAATAATGAAGCAATCGATAGAAAATAATTGTTCTCATATCGATGGGACCTTTTCGTCAGTATCAAAATGATGAAAGAATAAGAATAGGCTTTAACCTTTCTGGCAATAAAACTGTTCGCCTTTTGGCATTCTCTGGTCTAACACTTTTGAGACACGGCCATAAGGAAGGCTGTCTCTGGTGTGGGCCAATTAGTTTCAAAGACAATGCATGCATTACACTATGTCACACAATTTTTATTCCTGGGTAGTAAGTCTTATTTCGAAATTGCTTATGCCTAAAAAGTATAGAAATTGGCTATTATTCCCCCAAACTTTGCTTTTGTGACCAGGACAGTGATATTTTGAAATTTTCCTATTTGCAATGAGAAACGGGCGAATTTGTTTCTTTTCGTTCACATAAAGTCAGAAAAAAACAAGATATGAATCTAAATGAACATGTATTTATACTAAAGTAATACAAAAATTACTACAAAAGATTTATAAGTGAGTCGTTTTTCGAGATTTACGAATATACTGTAAATCACTTTCACGAATCAACCCCAAAATGTTCTCCTTATATTGTCCTTGTTAGCGGCATTCAAAGTCCAGTATATCCTGGTGGAAGCACTGGCCTTGCTCCTCCGAGTACGCTGGGGTAGAGAAAAATGAGAGAGTTGTGTGGAATTGTTGCATTGGCATTGCTGCTACATTGGCATTGTTGCTGCATTGGCATTGTTGCTGCATTGGCATTGTTGCTGCATTGGCATTGCTGCTACATTGGCACTCGTGCACCTTCCATGCTCCTGGTGCTGTTGATACACTTGGGCTACGCCCATCCCCAGACCTTTATAAACAGTTTGCCTTAAGAGGCTGACTTCTTTGCCTGATGACGACCGTTTGTGTTGCGATCGAAACGTCGTGATTTGTTTTATTTTATTTCTAATTACGTGACTTTACCGAAAGAACCAAATAGTACTATTATTATTTAATTTAATTTCTTTCTACGTGACTTTACCGAAAGAACCAAAGAGTAATTCCTGCAGTCACGAATGCTTCGAATCTAATGTTCTAGAAGTTACTCCAAGTTTACTCAGCACTGAATCTATCTCGAATGTTCTGAAAAATAGGTAAATTTCAAAATATCACTGTCCTGGTCACAAAAGCAAAGTTTGTTGGGAATAATAGCCATTTTTTGTACTTGTGAGGCATAAGCAATGAGGAAATAACACTTACTACCCAGGAACAAAAAATATAATTTGTTACCCAGTGTTATCAGAGCATGTTTGTTTGCATGTTTTGCTTCAAGCATATGTGGTTAATGCAGACTTGATGCCTTACCATCGGTATCTAATTGGTTTTTGAACATATTAATACCTGCTGTGTTGCCAGAAAGGGTAAAGCCATATCCTTGACATAGATTATATTTAAAGAGTATGTTTATTAAAACATACATGTTTATTAAAATATACTAACTTATACTTGTAGATGCTTTCAGCCAAGAGGTGTAGCTGTAATTTAAATTAAGCATATTTGGCTATTTTTAAAACACCTCTACTTTCCAAATGTTCCCTAATACCATTTGAGAGATGCATGTTTTTTAAGTTATTGTTATATTTACACAAACTTTCACTTGATAAAATAGCAAGCAGTTTTACTAAAGTTAGATATTAGCAGTGAAGAATTAAGATTTGCCATTGTTTCACTTAAAATAGTAATTGCTATGAATATATGGTTTCCCTTTATGTAAATATTTGACCGTGGTATCCTTAGCCCAAACGGCAAATGTGCAATGGAATAGTGGTATTTTGGGGGGGGGGAGGCTGATGAATTTCAACAATACTGAGCATGACGGATTTTTGTTTATTGCCCTATCATTTGCTGTAATGTGCAGGTGCAAGGGAGGAGGCCTGTTGGACTGCCATCTAATTGGCCCTCTCTTTAGGTAGGCTTCGCGACGTGGGATGACTTTGTGTGTGTGTGTGTGTGATGTCCTGTGCGCACAACATGACTGAACAATTGCAATCAAATGCAGGTGCATTGGCTTCACAGAGCAGGACTGCTCTCAGCCGTGGGTGGAATCGGCCCTTCACTATGGGAATAGGTAACGCCAAGCAAACCCGTCTGTGCTTCTCTCTGCGGCACCGCAGCTCCTCGGGTGTCTTAACTAACCTCCCGGAAACGTTATCCCCCTTGCTCCAGTTCGTCAATTCATCTAATTACAGCGTCGTTTGGGATTTCCCTCTTACCATTCTGCCTCGATCTGTTTACTAACATAACCGAGATTTAATTCTAAAAACTTTACTCCATGCATGTCATCTGTAGCCAACGTAGCATTTAGAATTCATGGAAAATGATGTTGAATTCCTGATGCGAGCACTCATTTCTCTTCACATAATTTAATAATATTGCATGCATACAGAAATTCGCAACGCATGTGACCCTTTAAGCGTTTGACTAATATTATTTGCCAAATAGAAGACCACTTCTACACAAATCTATTGTCATGCAATATAGTGTAAAAATTAGAGTACGTATTTATATTGTTATTTGTTACATCGCTAATAATTTTACATAGAATATATTCCCAGTTGTCATCAGTTACGAGGAACAACATTCCTAAATTGAGGCTGCATCTATTTCAAACAAGATACATGAACATGTTAATTGTAGCACATAGTGTAAGATCCTTTACACTAGTGTGAACAGGAAACTTTAAACAAGTGGTCTGTATATTAAGCCCCTAAACAAGAGATGAAAATGCATTACAAATATTGTATATGTGTTATAGCGATGCCATTTCTGGCATCTAAAAAATTCTAATATACATTGTTCATGAATGGTGTTTTAAGAGTTGGTTTACTAATTGACTAAAACTGGTAAGAACAAACATTTCTAATAATAGTGAGTCACCACTGGCTCAGGATCACTTACGCCTCAATAATCATTTAAGCAAAGAGATATTAGACTTATTATTTTGTATCTGATACTCATAGATTATAGTTGCTCACTGAGTGGCTCGTGTAAATTGTAATAATGTTCTTGAAGGGTTAGATGTTAAAAGGACGCATCACTTTAAAATCTTAAATTGCTTTAAATATCATAACAAGGGAGGGAGGATAGGGAACGTGCTCTCAGACCTGTCCTATGGAGACACTGGGTTTTGTGCAGGAGGATTTTGGATCATAAGACTGCACTAGGCAGGGTCTAGTACATCTGTGCATGTGTATACAAATATATGTTATATTTTATGGACACAATTTGATGAAATAATATTCACGATTGTGATCATTTCACAGATATACACCTGTGTTTTATTGTTTCCTTCCACACACGCCAAATTTGTGTATATACGTTGTTTTCTAGAAATAGCTTGCATTATGATCAGTTTGAGAAGTGCATGCCCTGCAACTAATGCTGCAGTCCTATTCCCTCAATGTTATTGTGTTGTGCAATATAGCGAGAGTTCATGGAGTTACTGTATAATTGTTGTCAGACTCCCTAGTGCATCTGGTGGAGGGAAAGGTTCCGTGTACAGTGCCACATTGATGTCCTGGTCACAGGTCCTCCCACGCAGTGCAACATTGAACTGCGCAAATTATTTTTTTCTTTGTAATTTTCTGCCACTTTCCATCAAAACACATGGCTTGATCACTGAGGTATCAAGCCTGATGTCATTACTCAGTTGAAACTGGCAGGAAGAGCTCGCATGTCACGGCATTGATATTAAAAGCGTTGGAGACGTGCGTAGTCATGTGTGCAGGTGCTAATCTTATTGCAATATGTTAGTTTAAATTTGTCGCGTGCATTTGTTTTCATCAATTCTCCAAGTGAAAGCCTCTTCTTGGAAATGTTTGTTATTACGTAGCCCAACTAATCACTCAGTACAATGTTTTTGTTAAATATATATTTACATGTAAATAACATATGATAAATACAAATTCCAATTAACTAAATGTTTAATACTTAAAATTTAGTAATACTTGAAATACACGACAGTTTTATCTTAGTCACTTGCCATCACCGTGAAGCAGAGGTGGAAAGTCAAGGTTCACTGAATGTGGAAGACTGAATAGATTTGCTGGTGGACTTGAAGAATTAATTTGGTTTAATTGTGATATTTATAGAAGAATAAAAAACAATAGAGTGCATGAGCAAAGCATGTTAATTGGGTTAATGGTATTCGCTAACTAAGTATATGGCTTTTGAGTTCCTAGTGTACACCTGAATGTCGATTGTACTTATCATAAAGTAAGAATGTCATCTGTTATGGTGCAAACCTTTAATTTTGTGGAAAACTGTTTCCGTTGGAGTGTTTTTTTGTTTAATTACATTTTATTCGTTTATTTAAGGTAGCCTTTCTGACTTCCTGGCTTTGAGTGCAATGTCATATTTTGCGATATGGAACAAAAGATGCGAGTGATCCGAAATGTCAAAACATGAAAGCAGTTGTGATTCGAATTTGCATCACTTTCATTGTTATTTATTTAATTTGATATTTTACATCAGCGATTTGGACCAAGACTGGCACTTAAAGTTTGAAACTCAAGTGTAGGACTTTTCATCGTGTACACAAAGCCCTTTGCTATGCATACATCTTCAAGGGTTTTGTTTTACAAAAAAAAACCCCACCAAGTGCCCTGAAGAATTCCCTTTTTTAATTTACGTGAAAAATACGAATCTAAGATATACATTTGGGGTTTTAAAAAATATCTTTAAAGCACTTTGATCAAAAGACTCCTCGAAGCTGCTCTTTTATCCTTGTTGATGAGTGGTTGTATTCGAACTGAATTAAAAAGCCATCCACACTGTGAATTAAAATTTGAAGGTAATTACATGCAGCTCTGTGACGGAACCAGTGCCTTTCCTGACATTTACACGGGCTTGCCAATTTAAATGCCTCGAGTAAAGTGTGCCTCGTCCTTACTAAATTACCAGTGCTGCCCGCAAGGATTCCTGTCTCCCTGCTGACCTTTTCTGGTCGCCCTTCCAATTTCGCACACAGCTCTGGTGCTCAAACCCATTTTTAATGCCATAAGGTGCAAGCACGGAGGCTGTGTTTATACGTAGCATCCGTAGTTTTTCGACAACAATCTGTTGTTTAATGCTTCAACAAGTTCTCCATATTCATCATCTTGTTGATACAGATTTATATTGGCGCTTTCTCACTGCAGACGTTGAGTTGAATGTTCCAAAGCTATAAGCCACATCAGCAGGGCATCCTAAGCTTGTTTTCATACAGCGGTGTTGTTCGTCACCAGTTATTGACTATGTTTACCTGCTCTGCGTCATTTACAGCCAGACAGCCTTAATACTCCAGCATAATCGCCCGATACGTAAATATTTGTGCCCCATTTGAATTGACAAACATGCATCGCTTAGCAACAGGTCATCAAGTTCAGTGGGCAGTGTATGTAGCGCATCTGCTTGTAAGAGAGATGTTGTCCCCCTCTGAGTTACGGCGCCTGATGCGTTGTCTTGAGCTCTGCGTATTGCCATTACATTTTTAGACTTTGCTCCGCACGAGAGGTATGGTTGTTTGTTCAATGTTCGCCGAAGCTTCAGGTGCTGAATTGCATTACACAGGATACAGCTCTCAACGTTGCTCTTTTTTTACATTTGAAAATAATCTCATGGCACACACGAGCTGTTGGTGTTGGTGAGCTGTTTGTGAGCAGCTCCAACCAGATAAGATGTCAATATAAATGTATTAAAGCTCTAATATCCCGATACAAAATGCAATCAATTTCGGAGGCTAATTTTTTATGATGTGCCCATGCTTCAGTGCACATACGAAGTGCTTAACTCCTTTTTTTGTAAAATATTCCAAAAATTGCTTCTGACACCATCACTTAGTTCAGGAAAAGAATATAAAAAAAGAAAGTAATATTGTTTGAAAAAAGCAAGAGTTATACGTACCATTCTTTGGCTATGAACGGCAAAGCGGTGGGCAGAATATTGGTGGGGGACCGGGCCCGAAGGAGAGTCACTGTTTTGTGTTGTGTCATGTGGGTAGGACCGGCTCCCCAGTGCTGGCAGTCATGGCAGTGGGGGGGCTGTTTGCCTGCGTCATGCTGCTCCTGCTTGCCGTCGTATGCGTTCGTCGGCGCAACATCGCGCGCAAGCGCGCCATGCGGCGCTACATCGAAAAGGAGGTGAGGCTCGGCAGAGACTACAAGGAAACTCACACACTTAACTTCTCAACTAAAGTTTAGCCGATGATGAACAGAAAAATGCTCTGCGCAACTTGAAACAAACAACGATCAATGTTCCCACTTTTATTTCAACCAGATTGCTGTTCAAATGCATTTTTCCGACGAGATTGCCGTGTACATGCATCATTATTTCTTAGAAATCCTAATGTATGTATGTTGAACGCATGGGTGGACTTTGGCCTACTCTTCCACACTGGCCAAACATCTTAGCAGAGGTGCGAGTACCCCAAATGTTATCGTACAATATGCGACCTGCCAATCGTTTGATTTTGTTGTACCTGTTGATACTTGTGTGTATATGTATTTATGTATGTTGAACTTCTTTCGCCCCATACGTATCCAACCGCATACCTTCTGATTCATCTTGGTTAAACTTTCTAAGTGCATTAAGTCCAACTCGCAATGCTACGAAACATTCGTGGTGCACAGATTGCATTGCCACGTGAACTTCAAAACGTGCGGTGTTCCTTTAAAAAGTCACGCATCAATGTGTCCCAGTACAAAAGCCAGCATTGACAAATTGACAATTACATTTAAGTTATGAAGAAAATACTATCAGTTGTTTATAAGTCTGCGTTGCAATATATATGTGTAGTATCTCAATAGATTTCCACCGACTTAAAGCTTTCGTGACTGCAGGAATTCATATTCTTTGGGTCTTTCGGTAAAGTCACGTAGATAGGTTCAAATTAATAAAAATAAAATATACAAAAAACTACGACGTTTGCGATCGCTTCTGTTGTGATCTAAACAACGTAGTTCTTTGTTTATTTGATTTGTATTAATTTGAACCTATCTACGTGACTTTACCGAAAGACCCATAGAATATAGGTTTCCACCGGTTTCTAAGTAACATAATCTATTTGTCAGTGGCTTCTTTGGTTGCTCATTCATTCGATGTATTACTGGGCTTGGTGACTCAGCCCAAACGATTACATTATAATGCCAGATGTGACTCATGTGTAGAGCAACAATGCACATTTCCACCACTTTATATAAAAATGTATGTATTGAAGAGTGGGTGTCTCTAGTTTAACAAGGGTAGAAGGATTCACAGTATTTGTGGAAAGGAGCGTACGTTTAATGGATACCTTTTTTCACTCAATTAGTTAATCGCTTCATCGTAAGTTGTAGATAGACTGAGGCTTTAAATAATTTTACTTTTAATAGGATATATCTCAGCATATAAATGCTGCATCAGAGTAGCAACTCAGCTTGTTATCGGTTTATGCATGAAAATGTTCATCTTATCACAGTGCGTGCTCAAGCACATGGAGTCAGTGTGATTTTATTTTCGCTGAATGGGACATGTGTGAAAACACATTTCTTCCGAGCATATGTTACATTTACAAAGTGAGGATTGATTTAAAAATGTTTATGATCAAATGACTTCATAAAGTACATATTAAATTATAACAATAATTATATGGCCATGCGGTTTACAATATAATTAAATATATATTTGTACAATATTTTCTTAACTTTCACTGACCTTTTTTTGTTAAAATCTCTGAATATTACAGAAGTAAAAACGTGTAAACTATTTGTTAATGTATTAGATTGCACAATCAGTTCTTAGTCTAACATGTACTATTAAAGGTAACGTGCGAGTCGGCAGCTTACATGGCCCTGTTTACTGCCAGCTCCTATAATACCACCGGTTGTCCAGGTTCTCCAGTTGGTAGTATGTGATTGTATGCATGTTTGTTGAACTTCTTTCGCACCTTATGTGGCCAACCATGATAATCGGAGGAACAGGGAAGGACAACAAAAGCAGTTCTAAAGAAATTAGTTTTTACAATCTAGATAATTTAAACGTGCATAGCTCCAGTAGCTTTCAAATATCAGAAGGAAGATCATTCAAGACGACCGCAGAAGCGCATCTGATGCGGTGACCGTCTTTGTTCGATGGCTAGACAAAAGCCGCTGCAAGGATGGCCTGAGTTTGCTTGATGGTTTATGCTCCTTGACAAGAAAATAATTGTCCTGATCACAGCAACACTGGGGATATGCAAGTGAAGATTAAGATACACATGTATGGTATTAGGCGAACATCCTGCTAGATTCGATTTCCAACCTCATTCCAAGCGATTCCTCTTGTAACTCGGAAACTGCACACCTCCATGTGACATGGTTCCCATTTATCGTTTAGCATGCAATAACTTTCCCAACATCCTACAAAAAAAACACTGGTTCACCCAAGGATGGAAGAACTGCTTCCACATCTCAGCTGTTCGTTTAACACGTAGGCTTAGCCGTTGTTGTGCAGGTGTTGTCGTGTCAAAGCCAAAAACTTTTGATGGACTGATCAAATCTTTTTGACGACCCAGGCCCTACTCATCTCTTGCCTCGTCTATCTCATCATTGCTCTGTTGCCTGTCCACCCGTGCTACTGGTACTTCTGTAGTGTACTAAATCAGAGACACGAGTAGGAGGCGTTATCCCTCTTGTTTATTCCGGCTCTCACAGCCATAGGGGATAACTCCATACCGGGTCGGGACAGCCAACATGCTTCCAGACCCACAACTTGAAGAGGCGAAGACCACAACGACAGCAGCATGACGAGTTCCATTCCCAATGGCAGCAGCCCCGACTGTGAGGGAGCTCGCCTTTTATTCTCCATAGCGTGGTCAGGCTCTGCCCTCGGCCACGCACCCTTCTGGATCCCCCAGAAGGCTCCGGGTTTGGCCCACGGGTCCAACTGGTAGAAAAGGCTGCTACTCCTAATTTCATTGTCTACCAATCTCCCAGCGCCACGTGCTACAGTGACTTATTCAATGTTACTACACTTCCATAGTCAGTGCATTTCTGAAGTCTCTCACATTACTGCATATGTCTGTTGACCTACTTGTGTTACTCGCTTGCCTTCATCTCTCCATGTGAATTGTCTCCTTGTTGACCTACCACTCAGAGTGTTGTGTCTCCCAACTTTTCACATTGCTCGCTTTGACCATTTACCACTTTTAGATAGACTTGTTTGATGTGATTAGTCTCGATTTTGTACAATTGAACAATTTCTACTCTTTCTGGCAGTATGACTTGTGCACAGGAGCAACTAAAAATTGCAGTTCTTTGAAAGAAAAATAATCACGTACACTGTACGCCAAACTCACGATCTATACATTTTAAACCAGATTAATACTTTACATGGAATATATTTACTAAATAAAGGTAGACTAATGTTGTCCTTATACTTTTAAACAAAATTATGCGCAATTATAATCAGAATTTTTATATCCACATTATGAACCACGATGTGCTATACAAATAAAAGTAATTGTCTAAAGCATCCCCAATCACATATTTTCTTTTTAGGCAGTATCATTGATGTTCCTTTCTTTGTTACATGTGCTTGCGCACAACTGCCAATGCAGTGTCACCAAATAAACGTGTTTTTTTGGACTGTGCAGTATACGCCTTATAAAGATAACCCAGGTTATCCCCAACAGCCACGACTCATCAATGCCAGCGGTGGTGTTCTGCCTGCCCTCCCCCTCCCCTGTTCTCCTACAGCTCGTGGAACCCCTGACTCCAAGCGGGGCAGCACCCAACCAGGCCCAGCTGCGTATCCTCAAAGAGACGGAACTCAGGAAGGGCAAGATGCTTGGCTCCGGGGCCTTCGGCACTGTGCACAAGGTGTGTGTAGCAAAGCAGGTGATGGCAAAACCTAAGTGAAGCTCCATAGAAAGGATTTGGAGCCAGAACGCTGCTTTAAAATCTGCGTCCTTTTATCAATAACTGTATTCAGAAGCCTGCAAGTTTAATTCTCAGTCAGTAGTCAAATCAGCTCATCGGTCCTTTTTGGTGTCACTGAAATGATCACTATTTGCGGGAGTCAACGGTAGTTTTGCTGTCAAGAGACTAGCTCCGGAAATATGCAGAGAGAGATGGGACACTTTAACGACGTTCTGGGATATATCTATGTATGTTTAATGTTTTTTGGCACCGGACATAGCCAACCGTGCTAATCGGAGGTGTGGAGAAAGGACAACAAACTAAACACAAAAATCAGGGATTCAGAAAAATCTGCCCCTGTGCACTCCATGTGGTCTGAAGTGATAAACATTTTTGGTTGTTTTTATGTCTTTTTACACCATGGTCACATCATCAAGTCATCTGGCCATTTTTATGTTCGCTATAATTAATGGGGGGGGGGGGGGGGGGATGTACATCTCCACCACCGGATAATCATGCTTGTATCGTTATTGCCAATTGCCAGGTAAAATGTTCCTTATACTGTTGTCTTCATGCTGTCGTGAGTGCGGGTTGGTGAAGGCGAGGCCCAGGATCAGTGTCGTTGTCATTCACCATCACCAATGATTTAAGCTGTGGCTGGGAATGGAACTCGGGTCACAGGGTTCACATGCAGCATGCTAACTACTTGCATTACTGCTCCACCTTCACAAGTGGTTAATGTCAAGTGCAAAATTAAATATCTATGTATCAATCGTTGGTGTCAGCAGTAATGTGGTATTTATTCTAATGGAGATATTTGTAATTAGTTCAGCAGCATGTACATATAATTACGTAGATTCAAAACTTGTATCAGTACGTCCAGAAAACTTACACACTATAAACTCAAAGATCCTGATTATCCATGTTGGTGCAATGACTTTGAGTCAATGTATATTTATTTTTCAAGAATAACTTTCCACACTTGTGACTGCTTCTAAAAACCCTGTCCACAATCTTTCATAGACTAACAATGCACAATTTTCTGCTACGTGTCCCAAAAGCCCTGAGTCATTATCTTTTGAAATATGGACCAGACTTGATGGATGTCCATGCTGTAAAAGCTTATAAATAACTTTAGAACATTTACATTGAGTACATTGTGCACATTTTAACGTCAGTGGCTTTTCTTAGGATGCAGAATACCTACCAAGTGACAGTCATTTATAACCCTCAGTGAATGACTGTGTTTTAAGTCATGTTTGTGTCTGCAGCGTGGACCATGGCAGAGCGTAAAGAGAAAACACACTCCCATCTAAGCTTCGTTGAGCACCACTTATTATGAACAACAGGCACAGGGCATGGTTTAGGCTTGGCAGGTTACCTTTGGTAGAGTCAACTTCTTGGTCTGGTGATTCTCACACAAAAGATACTGGCTGCTTTATTGTGTCCTGGAGTTCCATTGCTTGGCCATCACATGCTAAATCAGCTATTCTGGTTTCTTGTGTAACACATTTTCTTGATTATTGTTGTTCATATAATAACTACATAAATTGCAACAAGCTATAAAATTTAGATTTTTCAAAAACAATGTTGAATTTTTAAAAGCAATACATCTTCATGTTTCTGCTCATTATATAATGGTTCAGTGGGATGTTTAGGTTCAATTATCTACTCAATGAGTCAGGGAGGAATTGCCTGTAAAGTCATAACAAAGCCAGATTTTGCCAAAGTATAATTTTCTTTTGTCAATAATTTTGTTCAAAAAGTAAAAGTTGGCCCTATATATATCTAGTGTGGACGTAAATGTGTTCACACCTTTAAATGAAACAATAATGGAGAAAACTTGGCCAGTTTGATGAATATAAATGCACTATATATGTGTGTCACTCCTGTCAATGATCGTGTTGTGTTTCTTTAGGGAATCTGGACTCCAGAGGGTGAGGACGTAAAGATCCCTGTGGCCATCAAGGTGCTCAGAGAGGCTACATCCCCAAAAGCCAACAAGGAGATTTTGGATGTAAGGCGGTAGCCAACCATGGGTTCTGCTTTGTTTGAGAATGTTTTCAGCAGCCTGTCAAGTTAAAAAGTTCACGTGAAGAAGAGGTTCATGTACCGATTATTTAATTTGTAAATTAGTTCTGTATGTAGAACTTTTTTCGCACCATGCATAGCCAACCATGCTAATCGGAGTTATGAAGTATGGAGCTTCATTTGTACTCGTGATAGCATGTGTAAAGAGAATGCCAAAATGGACAGGTCAATGAAATGTGTGTTCATTTACAGCCAACAGAACATGGGAAAAATATTGCCTTCATACAAATGTTTGAGCTAAGGCAGAGACTAGATGCCAATTGTGAAGATTCCACAATAAAACATCTTTCTATACTGTTTGGCTCTTCAGCATGTGTTTACAAAAAAAACACCCAATATAATTGTTTCCTATTACAATGTTAATATATTGTATTGGAAACTAATTCCACCTTGAGTGAGTAGAGGGAGGGATTGCAACTTATATTGCACAAAATGTAACAAACTGCAGTGATTTAACTGAAAGCTTTCGTTTATTATGTAAGAAAACCATGTAAATAAATGCTTTTGCAAAACATAAGTAATATTACTTCCCATTTTAAAAAAGTGGCATGTTGTTTCTTTTCTTATATTTACTTCTCTTTACTTTTTCATTTATGTTTATAACTTTGACTATTTATCACACAGATTTGTTTTGTTTATTAAATTGTTCATGACTATAATTATGCAATAATGATTGCATAATTAAAATATTATATATACAAAATATTATTTTTAAAATAACTTCATTGGGGAAGATACCGATATTTGAAACTGCGGTAAATTAATTTCATGCACCATGACTAACAGAGTGTTCAAAACAGATCGACCCAATTTCAAAGCAGTATATTTCACGATGGCAACATGTTACAATTACACAAAAAGTTACAAACGATTTAATGAGTTATCAAGTATTACTAACCATTTTTATAAATGCTCTATGTGCCCTCCACCTGCTGTACGGACAACATCGAGACGATAGTTGAATTCGTCCCAAACACCTCTCAAAGTCATCTTCTTGGTTCTTTCGGTAAAGTCACGTAAAACGGAAATAATAAAAAAATAAAAATAAAACATTATAAAATCATTCTCACGACGTTTCGGCCACAACGCAAGCAGCCGTCCTCAGGTTAAGAACAGGTCTGTCGAGAAGACAGAGTCTGAATGAAACACCCCAGGCTTGGAGTGTCTATTAAAGCTGGGAGGGAGGAGGAAGAGCGCCTTGACAAAATAATTTGCATATCAAGAGGAATTTTAGCATATTTATTGAAAAAGCAGATATGCGATTAGTACTACTTGTGAAATGCGTAGGAGGTTTGTGGGGGGTTTAAAGTCATGTTTTGCCCGTGCATTATGCAGGATTAGCAGCATCAAAGGGAGGGGATAGGGGAAGCATTAATAAAGGGAAGGAATGTTAATAGTCTGTAGCTGCAGTAACTAAACCACCACGTAAACAACTAAAATATAAACTACATAGTATCATCAGTATACTTAATATACTCTCCAATAAGCTGAGCTACTAACGGTAAGTAATACATTACAATTCTATGTCGCAAAAAATATAATATGCTTCCAGCTAAACTTTATTCTCTTACATCACACGGGTCTACACCGTACTATATACTGCCATAGACAAACCCAACATTAAATTATATACTGTATTACTATACACCATCCTATACCTTATACATTGTAATATTAAACTATGTATTATTCTACCCACCCTACTGTATATCACACTGAAGTCACCGCTGCCGTGATTCTGTTTTTGAAGTCTTCCAGATTAGTCACTAATGGTGGCACAAAAACACGGTCTTTGACGTATCCCCACAAGAAAAAGTCGCAGAGTATGATGAAACGCACGCTGCTCCGCAATTACGGATTCAGTCTTGCTAAACTGCAGAACACAAAACGCCTTGTGTTGCGGGGTCGCCATCTTGCGAATGACTGAGGCTAGGGGCTTTTTGTGCGCTGGGAGAGGCATCTAGCGGTAATCATTTGAAACGCTATGCCCCGCCCTTTCAAGTGGTAAGAGTTTCATTCATGGGCGGTTCGTGGTTGCAGAGTTATAGCAATTTCAAATCGGGTCCATCTATTTGAAACACCCTGTACAATTAAAAATCTTCTTACAGGTCTTTATACATTTAAATGAACAGTAAAATATTTCTCAATTTTAAAAATCTAAGCATTTGGAATGGAAAACCATTCTAACATAGGTTTTTTTTTAAGCCATGAGGCATCAAGTGATAGCATTTACTATATTGCACTTCCTGATCAGTCCATAACACACCGCAATGTCAGATGTACAGTCATTTTTCACTTGCCACTGACATTGACTCCCACAGAGATGCACCAGGTCGTGCATTTCTGCCACATAATGTCAAATATTCTTCATCAACTAGTTTTCTTGTCGCATTTCAAAATAAAGTACCTATCAACATTATAAATGTATTAATATTTTCCTGAGAATAAAAAAGAGGGTGAATGCCTGAACATGTTGTCCCCAACTTGAATCTTGTCTGCCACTGTCCTGTCATTTTATCTTATGAGGGTGCCTTAGATTTTATTTTTAGGTCAGGGACAGACATAGTGATGTTCTGAAAAGTAAGTAAAAAAGGACATAAAACATTTGTCAACACTATGACATCAGGTATTTATATACATATATAATATAATGTCCAATATATTATATGCTGCGCTCGTGTTTAATTGGTTTCTAATAAAGGTTTTGCAAGAGTTCATTAAGCATGTTTGTCTTACATATAAAGTAGACAATGCAATTAAACGACTAAAGATATGAAGGTTGTTACGTGGCCAGTGTTCACGCATGCCAAACGAGGATTGTATTTGCAACCACATTGCTTAATATCGGTACTCAACATCCTTTATATATCACTCTAAAATATGTGATACTTTGGCTTATTATTGGCTGCATATGCCAGTGAAAGGTGTAAATATCAATTCAGGGACCATCAACATCAAGTCTTGGTGTCACACTTTTGGACAATTATAGATAAAAATATCAAAGGATGCTAACTTGGGTGCATGAAAATATCTCATGGGGACATTGTACACAAGATAAATTGTATTGCGAATGGGTGCCATGGCTACATTTGAGAACTGCACAGAATTACTTTGAGGAGTTTAGCATGTTTAATGAGTTTCTCTAAAAGTGTTACTTTTATTTGGTCTCAATTAATGTTCATGTTGGTGGCATCCAACTAACATTTGAATGAATTCCCTTTTGTTGTCAACTATCCCCATTGGTATCAAAGCTGTGTTTGTATACTGTATATATATTTCTGCGTTGTATTGCATCCACTGTTACAATTGATTTTAAAGTGCAGTTTTGTGAACTTAATCAATACATCAATTGCATACGTATATTATTATCGTCATCATAGTGTAAGCATCTTCAGCTTTATGATTGTCAATTATATTAATTTCTTATTTACATCATTGTCATCACCATTATAGGTGCTTTCAACTTCATCATTGCCAATACATGTGTAGTGCTGAACTTTACGCGGACAACTTTTTATTTTCGTCGTCACCTTTTATGACAAAACTCTTTACATTCCACAACCGCTCCGCTGGCCTCGCTCGCTCCGTTCCCTCCCTCTCTCTCTCTGTCTCTCTCTCCCCGACTCTCCTCTCTGCTTCGCCTGTCTCTGCTTCAACTGTCTCGCTCTCTCGGCGTCTCCGTCTCACTCCGTCCGTTGCTCTCTCTCGGCTTTTCTGTCTCACTCCGATTGTCTCTCTCTCCCTCTCGCTAATCGCATTGTTTCAAATTGCGAATTCGATTTGAAATTGATTAATCGTTCAGCCCTAGTAGAGAGCCATATTGGCCTAATCTTCCATCCTGGCCAGACATTTTGGAAGAGGTTGGAGTTGCGCATGCTTTATCACACCACATGCAACCTCCTATTTGACTCTGGTCTACTCATTACATTTGAACCGGGGATCGGACTGGTGTGCGAACCATTGAACCAGTGGCAGCATCACACATCTTCGCCAACGTGTATTAAAAGTTGCTGCTCTTCCGTGCGTGTGTTTGGACGGCAGGAGGCCTACATCATGGCGAGTGTGAGCCACCCACATCTCGTGCGGCTGCTGGGCATCTGCCTGACTCCGAGCGTGCAGCTTGTGACCCAGTTAATGCCACTCGGTTGCCTGCTGGAGTATACACGGGAGCACAAGGAGCACATTGGCTCCCAGCTGTTGCTCAACTGGGCCGTACAGATTGCCAAGGTACTCGTGGGCCATTGGCCAGATGTTTTTTGGCATCGATGCAATTGTTGATTTGAAACTCGCTGCATGCTCAACTCCCAAGGTTTGATGTGCGCTCGTGTACGTCAGTTGCTTGTTTGGATGTGACAAGGTCGGTTACAGCCCTCGGAGACAGGTCCAATGCAATAAAACTTGTTATCACTGGCTGTGGACCCAATGAAGAAGTTATATAAGATACATATATAGGGAATTAAGTCACAAGATAAAAAATGTTTGGAGTTTTTTTTATAGTGTTGAGTTTGTGATATTGTCTCAAACATTGTAATTTACATTTCCTATCCACTGCTAAATCACATGCTGCCTTATTGACCAATAAATGTAATCACATGAGATGATGAAGCCTTCACATACCAAGAGGTTTTCACTATTTGAAGCTGCTTATATGTGTGATAGTCAAGCTTCACAAAGGTTAGGTATAAAGTCTTACTAATTTTGTAAAAAAAATGCATTTGGTGTCACAATTGTGCGTGATCTTAACCATCCAATTGCAACAAATATTCATCCCTATTATAATAATAGTACAACTTCATTTAAATTAAAAATGTACATTAGTGTTCATGACATTTTCACATGGAAGGACCATATTTATTTGATTTACTCTCAATCTCAAGGATTTTTTTTTCAAATAATTCACAACTTATGCTGGCTCTATGTAAGCATAGTATATATTAGCACTATTAGAGTTTAATACCATACTAATCAGATTGTTATTTATTATACACATTGACACAACTGCCTTCGACGTAAGGTACATTTATTTCTTAATAATTGGTAAATATATTTTGTAAGCATGTATTTATTTCTATCACATTTGTTTAAACTGTACCACTGAATCCAATTTTGTGTTATTTTATTTTTAACATTGCTGTTCAGTACTGTGATATTGATACGTTAAATTACACATTTCGACCAGTTCTTAATAACAAAGCGTTTACACAGAAGAGAGAGCTTGCTCTTGGTAACTTTGTTTCAGCCTAGGATCATACACAGCTTTATAAATATAGCTCGATGCTCGGGTTAGATTTTGGGGTTAGTGATTTGATTGGGAGCTGTGCATGTACAGCACTCACCTCTCTGCCCACTATTTGGCCTTGTGTATCTAAGCTAGATGCAGCTTGTCATTTCAGAGGACTTTTAACATTTAATTTTCTGGACGTGACATTTGTATTTTCTTAACACCAGCTCGAGATGATTAGCATTTGGCTGTGTGTGTTGTCTATGTGGCTTCAGCTCATCCGTCCTCCACCATAGATCTTTAGTGGCTGTATTCCCAAGGTAAAGCCCTTGAATAATTGAGAAAACAGTGATAAATTAGGCTTTTCACGTTATGAAAGGCATTCTGTGTTATTAAATATTAGTGTTTTTTGTAGTTAGTAACATTATGAGGATGTTTTTACATTTCACCATCAGGCTTGTGGATTGTGTAAAGTGCATTCTAAAACTATTATCCACTCTGGCTCACTGGCCTATTATCGGCTATAAAGAAATGTATTGCCTGAAGCATCATCTATTATTTATTTTTCCTTTTAAGGCAGTATTATTGACAAATGTCTTGAGTTTTTTGTTATGTGTCCTTGTGCACCACTGCCAACGCAACATCACCAAGTAATTTGTTCCATGGTTTTTTCCTTAGGCATTTAACCGTATATTATACTAAAGCATTCACCTGAAATCGAATATAATTCCTTTAATCAAGCAGAACGGTGTTATCTTCTGCCGTAATAATAATTCTGATTTATAACGTGCACGATATTTGTGCTGGCGAGGTGCTAGCATGAGTAAGAGGATTCATTCCATAGCGCATTTGAATAAAATGCGTGTGGAATCTGCCGGCTCGTATTTCTGTTCATAAACAGGTGGATACGTCTTCAGTGTGTCTGTTGAATGGCTCCGGGCAAACCCGTGGTGGAGTGTTGTTCTTCGTAACACCGTGGCCTCAGAAATGCAATGTTGTTGCAGACCGGTGTTCCTATTAATGATTCATGGATAAGTCAGTGCCAAAGACATTAAAGAGATGCATTTTGTGCTCGTGGTGGTTTCTTCTCAATGGGTTGAGTGCCTGGGCATATGCTGGCTTCGTAAGCTTGGCTGCAGAATAGCTTTGTGTTTAACATTAACCTTCACATTGATGGGGGTTTTGTTTTTCTACAATGCGTTGAACTAAATTGTCAAAATTATATAAAGGTAAAACGTGTGAATAGTTATAGGTTTTTACCCTTTCAACTGGTACAAAACTGACACCTTTATACAAGGCATCATGTTTGCAATAACCACAACACAAGCAGTCAAAAGGCAAACAAAAAGAAACAACTCTGATAATGATAATGATATGCACTGTCCTTGAAGTTGATTGGTCCACACCCGAGACAACTTTTCTTAGAGCCTAGTCTCCATTGGTGCCTTTTGGCGTCATCTGGTCCAACACCAATGTAGACTAGGCTCTAAGAAAAGCTGTCTCGGGTGTGGACCAATCAACTTCAAGGACAGTGCATATAATTATCAGAGTTGTTTCTTTTTGTTTGAATTTTTACTGCTTGTGTTGTGGTTATTGCAAACATGATGCCTTGTATAAAGGTGTCAGTTTTTGTACCAGTTGAAAGGGTAAAAACCTATTACTATATTTTGCCACTGGTAAAGGAGATGTCTCATAGTGTGAATAGTTGTTTAAAATAATGCATGTAAGATGTAAGGTATGTTTTACATTACTTCTGGAGCATTTTATTTGACATATGTAAGATGGGAAAACATAAAGGGATATTAAATAACGGCGATACGAAAATGATATACCTATTGTGATTTTATTATAATTGTCTTTTCCAAATTACAATGTGTTTCTATTATGGGTCATATAAGTCATCCAAGTTTGCAGATTCAGAGTTTTATTTACACTTGAACGAATGCAATATTGTGGCTGTGTAGGCTGGTGCTCTGCTTATTTGCCAATGTGCCAATTGTCCCAGAATAGATGGTTTGGGTTCTGCTGCCAGCCAGTAATTTATTATGGGGAATTTTTAAAGCACATTATCTATTATAAAGTGTATGTTGAAGACAATCACCATATCTGCACCATAATCGTCATTATTATAAGGAATTGTGTGCACCTATCAAAGCCTTAATTTGAAAATTGCACATTATTTACAATTGGAATTGTGAAATAAGTAAACTGATAGTTTTTAAGATTTTTCTGTAAAAAAATATAATCTCAACATGCTGTCTCCTTAATTATATAAAATAATATGAAACAAATACTGAGCGAATTAAATTTCTCCACAGCAATGCAACTCATTAGAGTTTGGGGAAATGGTTGTGTCTCAAAGGTGACATCACCAATTACAATAATTTATGCACATTTGGCGACAGACTCCCAACACCGATACAAGAGCTATCCGACTTAAAAGTACATATCTAGCAAATAGATGCAAGTGCATCAATCACAAACACCTGAAATTATATTTGAAACTGGGTCTCACGGCCAATTCTTTAGACCGGCATTCATTGACATCAGCATGGCCTTTGAATATGCACAACACTTGCCCTCTCATTCTCACCCTGCACCTTTTCACTTCCTCCTTATATCTGCCTTGTTGTCCCCACTTTGTTTTAAATATCATATCAGCCAATATAAAATAGAATTAACATACACTATCCTGTCATTTAACGAGATTCTAAATGCGACAAAAAAAATTCTGCCCTCAGAGCCTGCTATAGTTGTAATTATTTTTCAGTGTAAAGAGAGTGAAGAAAGTTGAACAAAATATGAGGATAGTGGGTAAATTTATCAAGAACTGTAAGATATCTATCCCCATTTTCTATAATTGCATTGGATTCCTTTGGCATTTTGGATGACAAATACATATAATGTTTTTAAAAGCCGCATCCTTCATACATATAATGAATGGAAATATATCTCTTCACAAAAGAGGATACGGCATATATTGTATAATCACACGTAAGATGCATCATTATGCAAGATAGAGATTAAAAACTATGCATAGAAACATTTTAAACAATAGTTAAGTGTCGTATTTGAGTCTTTTGGTTAGTAAATAAGCTGTGCATTGTTTAATAAGTTTGCAAATAAGTGAATGCATTCATTTGAACTTTTACCACCCATTTTACACATGGTGACACTTTGGCGCACCGAGATGGCAGCCTTAATTAGATTGTGGGGGATGAAACCTTCAGGAATTTTATTGGCCGAGCACTCAACAGAGAAATTGGGGCCATTTCAAGGAGTGACCCACCGTAAGTAAATCCGACAGCGAAAACCGCAATTAATATTACACAGAGCCTGCCTCTGATTATTTTTTACGTACCACCAACAAAAGTGGCATCTTTTGTTTAGCTGGCTCCATTAAAATTGCTCCATTTAGCTCGTCCTTGCATTAAAAAAGATTTATACAGAAAGAGTGTGCACACCCTACGGTGTTTCTAGTTCGGACTCACCTGCCACTGTAAGGTTATTGCAAGTTGTGAATCTGGCTCCAATGATTATCTGGAGCATCGAATTGTCGACCTTGCACCTTCCGTAAGTTTACCTTCCAACTGCACTCGGATGTCCGTGACATATGTACATATGTTGAACTTCTTTCACACCATGCATAGCTAACCGTGATAATCGGAGGTGTGGGTATCAGGTTGTAAATGACATTTATATCAGGATTAGTATTTAGACATGTTGCATTACTTTTTTCCTTTGAAGCTGAGTATTCAATATAATTTACATTTACAGTGGCAGAATGCCAGCCAAAGTAGCGACGTGAATTGGACCCTATGAGGTTTATTTTCAAGGAAGAAGATTTCAGCGTCTAAAACAGTAAATATCAGTGTACAGTAAAGAACAATAACGTTCAAAAGGTTATAAAATCCGTTTTAACTGATATATTTTCATCACTTCATGTATATTTGCAAATGTTGTGGATTCACTCTTCAACACACCGGTGGGCTAAAGTAGTGAACTATTTGTCTTTTGTCAATGTGACATTTTTTTACTGATTGGCCGTGTCGGGTGGTGGAGGGTTACGAGACATTTATAAATAACGCGATCTAACCCAACAACGTTTATTATGAATAATATTGGTCGTGAAAGCCTACGTGTTAAACTGATTTGATGCTGTGTTAGGAAATAAAACGATTGCAACTATAAATGTGGTTACTTACAGTTAACAGAGAATGAACAGAATTACATTTTCTACAATTAACGATGACAATTGTCATTCTATCAATTGCTTCAATAATCTTGACTTAAAGCTTTCGTGACTGCAGGAATTCATATTCTTGGGTCTTTCGGTAAAGCCATGTAGATAGAAAATAATAATAAAAATATTACGACCTTTCGATCTCAACACAAGCAATCTTCATCAGGTGAAAAAATAGCGGGAGAGCTGCTGAGGCCAGATCCATACGTTAAAAAGTTAGATGGTGTCAAGATTGTTATCAATCAGAGTAACAGCCCAATTTCCAACAGCCTAAAATCGGTTCTAGCTCAAGGGTTGAATTTCGCAGTCACCCCTAAACACATCCCAGTTGATGATATCATTGCCCAGGTCGACGCAGCCCTTAAGTGTTTGGCAAACATTCCTGCAGACGTGGCAAGATCAGAAATCGCAGCAATCCTCAAAAAAGTTAAGACACCTATGAACAATCAGTAAGGATGAGCGCTTTGAGCTTTCTCAACAAAAAAAATAGAGATGGCCCGATTTCTGTCGGAGACCTTACAACCATTCACTGGTAAGACCACCTCAGCTGTACTTAACTCAGCTCACTTGGTATCGTTAATTAAGGACTTCTCACGATCTCCAGGTGAGTTGCTTGTCAGTTTCGATGTAGTATCTTTGTTTCCCAAAGTTCCTGTACCTGACACCAGTTTAAGTCATAACTGGCTGTGATATTTCCATCCTACCTGCCGCTTTTAGTAGTTATTTTCGACTCTCTTGTGTTATATTAACAGGTTTAATGTCTTTACATTAACAGGTAAAATGTCTCACTAACACAGCCACCGTTGCTCGTTTTCCTCGATGTGGCATTGACTCTACGATCTTACATTGACATGCTAACCTCTCACAATACAATGGCCACCTCCACAGCTTCGTCGTTGTGAAGGTGACTCCGATTTTCCCAATCTTACATTTACATGAAAATTTCATCACTAGCCCCGCCCACTTCGCTTATGACCCTTGGCCTACACCCATCTGAAACCTTTATAACATCCTGCCTCAGCAGCTCTCTCGCAATTGTTTTACCTGATCACGATTGCTTGAGTTGCGATCAAAACGTCGTGATATTTTTATTATTTTTTCTATCTGCGTGGCTTTACCGAAAGACCCAAAGAATATGCTTCAATAATAAATAAATAATGTTGTTTAATCTTATGATTTTGGAGAAAAACATTAAAGACTGCTCCTAGAAGAAGCACAATGTTTTCATTGAGCAATTTACAAGTTTAAATGTAGTTGTCACATGCAGATTTCGTGATATGTTGTCACTGTAGGTTGTGACAGGCAAGTGGAATTTGAATGCATTATACATTTGATTGCTTAATTTGCGCAGGTTTTTTTTATCATCGAGTGAGAATAATAGCCAATTAAAATGTTGCCACTTTTAAAATGGCTGCTAAAATATTTAAACGTTTTGTGAATTTCAATCTCAACTAAACGTTTTGGTTGGCACTCCTTTTTAATAAATAAAACAAATAAAAAAGTGTATGTTTCAATGCTCATTTAATGTGCACACTTCTAGCAAGACTTCTTCACGACTATTATTTGTGTATATTCATGTATTACATGCCTGGATTTCGTATCACCTTTGTTAAATTTAAATATGGATTTCATTTTCTACAACCGTTTAAACCTCCTAGCTGTGCCCTCCAGAATGTACATTTTACTAAAATTAATGCACCTATAGAATGCACTCCAAACGCAGTGTAAATGTAAGTGCCATTTGTACCTCATGTTTTTGACCTTAAAGCCCCTATATTTCTGTTCATATACACACATTTGTCATTGTTAAATAGCACATTGTATTACAGCTATTCTTGTGAATGCTGGCCATATTGCCTGTTATGTTTCCAATTATTTTATTCGCAGAAAACCATTCTTAGGTCAGTGGCGCAGTGACCTGTACACTGAGCTGAACTGCAGTGACATTACGATTTTTTCCTCGGGATATTTGGTTAAAGTCACGTTAAAGTCATTGTAACTCTATACGTACAGTGTCTCTAAATGTGTGTTTTTTCTTCGACTGTATATTTGTATAACACTTATAAAGAGTGTAGTATACTGAATATGAAAAATGGTTTCGCTCGCATCGTTACTGTCTTTGTAATTTATGTATATCCGACTGCAAAGCATATACTTTCATTTTTGTTTTGCTAAAAAAACAAGTATTATAAAATTTGTATCGGAGTGTAATGATTACGTGATTTATCGTCGTCAAGAACGTTTGACCACCCCATGTGCATATGAATGTAAATCGCTATTCAATACACTGCTGATGTGTGGGGCGTTATGAGCTGTCTGTGGACATACAAACACTACACATAGCACTGCCCCAACAGTCTGTTAAGGCTTTACGGAGGATCTTGTCTTCGTTGTGGGGAGCGGTAATGTAGCTGTTAGCGCGCTACACTACGAACCCAGTGACCCGAGTTCGATTCCCGCTGAGCCGGTCCTGGGCCTCCCCTAGGTTTAGTGTAGTGTATTAACATCACAACGAGGGAGACAAATGCGGACGGGCGTGGTGCTGGTCACCCACCCCCTCGTGCACCGTGTCGGTCTTCATAGATTCTCGCAAACAGCACTTGCCTCAACAGTCTGATCAGGCTATACGGGAGATCTTTGATGTTTACTTGATGTGTGTGTGTGTGTTGTGTTATTTTAGGATGCAATCTGTTCTGACAGATTGACTGACACTACTCTGTCACGCAATAGCTTATTGCACACCTATGTGTGTTCGACTAAGCGTGTCACATTGGGGTGATTACAAAAACGCTTTTCTGTGCCTATTTCATATTTCATGTCTACTGCTGTAACAGGCAACTATGTAAAATTATGATTTTCATTTTTAAACTGTCAAAGCTATGGTGGATTTAGTATTGATTGTCTGCTTTTGGCAATTTGCACAACTACTATATTGCACTGAGATTCATGGCAACAGCACGCATAGTCAATAGGTGTCTTGTTATATGCATGATGCACAGACAAGGGTTGATATATCTTGTCTCAGATTAAAGAGCTTACATTTAAAATCTTAAAGGATCCAAAGGAAAACTATGCGGCGAATTTCTTACGTAAGATTTTTTTCGAATACATCTCACAACACCATTATTTTCCTGAAAAATATGTCGCAACTGCGGTCAAATATTATCAATGGCAACCCGAAGAACATCCATTGGATCTTTGGAACGTTAAATAAGATCGTTTAAGGAATCCATCATGGTTTCCATTCAATATTTTACAGAAATCACCAAAGAAAAAATCGCAGCCAAATCTGTTGTTGACGTTATAGTCAAAATGTAGGGTGGTGATGGCAGAGTGTTTGTCGCTCGTAGCAGTGAGTTTGTGGTTCAAATCTAGCGGCTGCCCCGGTTAATACTGCAGGCGCATAAAATATAAACATCATCTGCTTCACAATAGACTTCACAGATCCCGTAGTGTTATTTGAGGAAGAACAGATGATGATATGTGTCTGCGTCACTGTTCAAAATTGCCAAGTTTTGAAAAATACCTATTTTAGTAAAACCACATAACAACATCATTCCCTACTTGCAGATGATATTCGTCAATGAAATAGAACGTTTTCGTAATAGCCTAGTGCGAAAAGAATGCCACCCTGCCAAATGTACGAAATTGTCATTATTATTAATTATTTTTACGTGGCCGAGTCAGAGTACACATTGGATATTCTTTCCCTGGTATGTGAGTATTACGTATGTGTCTTTATTTTAGGACTCTTTAAGATCTGATCATATATCTTCAGATGCTTTATTCAGATATCTAAAGTAGTTGCCTTTTCAAACATTAATCAACTCTCACAATGCTGCAAATACCTTTTGGTTATGTAAAATACAAGTAACTTAATGCTTTTTTAAAGCTTATACAACGCCACTTTATCAACATTATCTGTGGATTACAACTTCCGTGTGAATGGTAAGCATTCTTGAGCAAACCATTAAACAAAAAAACATGTCTAACCACAAGGGCTTTCTCTACTTCTGAGTTAAACCACCTCCCTCTGTGTGTCTACTTAATCGATTACCTTTAAATCCCAAAGGTTGTCTTGTCTGATCTGTACCTGCTCCCTCTCAGGGCATGATGTACCTGGAGGAACAACGTTTGGTGCATCGGGACCTGGCAGCACGCAACGTGCTAGTGAGGACCCCTCAACACGTGAAGATCACAGACTTTGGCTTGGCACGGCTACTTGACATCAATGAGATTGAGTACCACGCAGATGGTGGCAAGGTATGTCCATGACTTGGTGTACACATAGAGCGCTTTGTCAGTGCAATAGTAGATTTTTCTACTCTGCCTTTGCTGAAAACAGCTCTAAAGCACCCTACAACACCTATTTGATGCATGGTGGTTGCCCATGCAAGTACTATCCAGGCTGAAGACGGATTAGCTTCTGAAGCGAATCCGTCCGGTATGGTCATATAAATCTGTATTTGTGACCCCCACTGGCATTGACCCAAACAATGCTCATAGTTAGTGTCTTGAGTGTTCCACAATACTACAGGGATTTAATTCACGTATATGAATATTTATCCAAGACATAGCCTTACAAAAATGGTTTACTGCAGCTTTTGCTTCAGAATACTACTTTGAATGATTTTGTAACAGTATATATTAAACTTTATTTGACGTTTAATAATATATTGAAACATATTTCAAAATAGTACATGGATTTGAACCAGCTAAATTTGCATTGTAGGGAGAGTCTGTTCCCTCAGCAGGTATACACGGCCAATGCACTCAACATGCCAGACACAGAAAATACAACAAATCTACAAACTAGAAGCAACATAAGCATCAGTCTTTTCCCCAAAACTCTACATCTATTAAACTACACACAATGCATATTAAAAACTCAACAATCAATATACAAAATCAACCAGACACTCACCTTTTCCACCACACACACATAATACTCATCTGTTATTTCGTTTATTTTCAAGGCACTTTGGTTTTTAAAGGATATACCATTAACAAAGTTACATACCTGTGTATTACACTGATCATAAGCACACTGTGAAGATCACAAAATAAATAAGCACAACATCAAGAAGGCAAAACATTTTAGGAGTATTTAATCTTGATTTGAAGCTTTCGTGACTGCAGGAATCCATACTCTTTGGTTCTTTCGGTAAAGTCACGTAGATAGAACATTAATAGATCACGACGTTTCGATCGCAACACAAGCGACCGTCTTCAGGTGAGAGTATTTCATGTTCCTGTTTTAACCTTTTTTTTGTTCGTAGCTACAATCTTTGCACACTTCTCAGAGTAGGTGTCTTGGTGTACGGAGGGTGTGGAACCTCAGCTCTCTGCACAAGTCCCCATTGTAGGAAACCATTTCAAGAACGGAAGCCTAGTGTTTCAGAGCTCCCGATGATGATTCCCTCGAAGAGCTCCCGAGCTGTGGTTGCGCAATGCATGAAAGGCAATGTATGCAAAATTTAATTGACGTAAAGAAAAAGCGCGCAGGACACGTAAAAATAAGCCACTGAAGTTAATGTTGCATATGGTGGCAATTGGAGATGGTCAAAGTGATTTAAATCACATGCCAAATCCACAAAGGCTGTAGGCTGACCTTTACCTTTAGCCTTTCTTTACCTGTCTGATTTATGCAGTGACCACAGACTGGAGTCACAAGGTGTCTCAGATACAATTATGTGGTCTGCCTGTGTTTTTTTTATTCCCAAATTCTTAATTGGTCAGAGTACATTCGTGACATTTCTGCTTATACTCTTCCCGTGCATTTTATTTTTGTATCTCAGACATATTTAGAGAGTCTTCTGGTGTTTAAATTCTGGTATTGAGATACCCTTCCTAACGTGCATCTCCAAACAGGCCTTATTTTTATTGCAAGCTTGTGAGTAAGGGATCGCACACAATTCACCTGAGCATGTATATTCACCCATAGCATTGTGTCCTGGTCTAACCTCTTGTGAATTATTACCTGCCTTCTGGCGCAATTATTGACTTAACCCTTTAAATTCAGACACAAGAACTGCTGTACACAGATGGGTAACCTCTACGGCATCTCAGCGTAACCTTATTTCACCTTGCAGTTCCTTAGTGTTAATTACTGTTTGAATGTGTAATGGTTTTATGACATGGGGAAAATGGGAGAATAGTCATCATCTGGAATCACTTTAATTCCACTGTTGGTTTCAGTGGAGTCTTATGAAGCTAAATGGCCACCTGTGTTTACGTATTTTCTTCTACCATCAATAGTTACTGTAAGAGATGCTTTTGGGGATACTTAGGAATGCTTATTAAAACACTAAATGAAACGTATATGTTACAAAACCTGCTCTTAACAACTTAGCATACAATGACTATAATAGAAAAAATGTGAGCAATAAGCACTCTTCTTCGACATTGGCATGTAGCATTTACAGCAGATTCATATTTTGAATTTTGAAAATGAGTTTGAATGATTGGGGGTTGTAAATGTTAGGTTATTTTACGTAATATCAGAGCCTTTACATCAATAGACTCACTAAATCTATGCGTGATATCATATTCTGGAGTATGTATCGATAAGCGGATGTCTAATATATTTCATGTTACATGTTATTGACAAATTCTGCTGTCTTCAGATGCCCATCAAGTGGCTGGCCCTGGAGTCCATTCAATACCGCACCTTTACCCACCAAAGTGATGTGTGGAGCTATGGTACACATTTTTACTTTTCCTATGTTGTTTAAACTACGTATATATAATACATCTAAAATAATTTCACCTACATTAAAGTTTACAATTAGAGCACATTTATACATAGTTTGAACATACCATGTGTTCAAGAATTTTAGTTGTTGTCTTATTGAAAATCCAGTAAAACATATACATAATTGCATTGGAACACTCCTACAAGCTGGAGTTATATAACTTTTTAGCATTTCTTGCATTCTTATCTTTGAGATGTTTTGTTTATGTTTTTCTTTAGTGTTCCAATGTTGCAACTAAACTTCGTATAGAACATTTTAAATACGTCTTTGTTAAAATACATGCACATCTATTTATTTTTTGGATAATAAAGAATAGAAATTAATTTCAATATGTGTAATCCACTTTTGTAAATGGGCTAAAATTACTCAATTATTATCGCAAAGGCACTTGTTTGAAAATCTGTATAAGTGCACATTGCCATAGCGGAATCATCACTGCTTGCAGAGCAGCTTGATGGATTTTGTTGTTTTTTTAAAAACATTTTAACAAATCTATTCAAGAAATGAAACCAACATTATTAAGATGACGGTTCCCAAATGTTGAATGTGTGCAATGTTACAACTCATCGGAGTAAATTCTGAGATACCTGTATATACAGTATAAATATTTATCAATCCATCTCATTTCAGTCTGTTAACCCTGTTGTTATCAGTTTGTCATGTAAAAATGGAGTAGTAGCAGGTTTTTCAACGTAATTTTATTAATTCCAGGAGTGACCATTTGGGAGTTGATGACCTTTGGAGGGAAGCCTTACGAAGGTATTCCAGCCAGGGATATCCCTGAGCTCTTGGAGAAGGGAGAACGGCTGCCCCAGCCGCCCATCTGCACCATCGACGTCTACATGATCATGGTGAAATGTGCGTTTTCACACGTGTGTGTGCGCACGCGTGTCTGCAAAACACAACCTGTGTGAGACACTTGTCTTGTTACAGATACATGCCACATGCTTAAAGCTATAGCAATCACACACATACACTGCTGCATTTAAACACAACCACACTCGCATATACACCGGAGTTATTGAGATTGTATACACACACACACACACACTGTGTTTATAAAAGTATTTTTTTTCTTTCAATATTGTATAATGATGATATGCCTTTGAGCTGCGATTGTGGTCCTTTAAATGTTTGTAAATGTAGCAATTGGTTTTGTTATACTGGCCGTTTGTGTAGTCATTTAATGTGTTTAAATAAGTCACTTTAAGCGTCGATAGATTACACGAACTATGAAGCTGGACACACATGGCCTCGTAAAGAACTTTATGCAACCATTGCCCCCTTTAAACATCCAACAGCATCCCCCTTAAAGTTGAGCATGATTGAAATAACACTTGCAGGAGAATATCAATGCTATAACATACAAATCGATACCGTAGACACTCATCGCTCTTACCATTCAGTTTCATCCTCATTGGTATATCATCCCCATTTGTATCCATACCATGTCGTTAACAACGACAACTTCCCATGTCGTTGACTGACACATACAGTAAGTGTGAAAGCACTTTAAGAACATACTTAAAAAAAACAACACTGATGTGTAATTCATAAGAGGTGTTTTTTTGGGTTAGATCGTGTAAATATGTGTCATTAAACCCACCACCACCCGACACAGCCAGCTAGTAAGGGTAGTCACATAAACAGAACATGCCCATTCGTAACTAGTACAGCACAATGTTGTGTTGAAGAGCCAAGCCACAACATTTTTCAATCTGAGTTCTCACATTTACAATCTGAGTTCTCACATTTACAATCTGAGTACTCGGATATACTGATAGCAGAATGTTTAAGCACGTACGATCTCAGTACTCAGATTTGGCACGTTCTGTTTACGTGACAACCCTTACTAGTTGGCTGTGTCGGGTGGTGGTGGGTTTAACGACACATTTATATATTTACGCGATCTAACCCAAAAAAAACCTCTTATGGATGATATTCGTCTCAAAAGCCGACGTGTTAAACTGACTGATATGTAATTGGTATCCAGTTAAGCCTGCAGTATTTGTCACAGTTTAATATCGGCAATTACTTGTAAAATTAAGTCATTTTTTAAAAGGGAAGTTAATGGGTTTAAACCCATTGTCTCTGGTTAACAACAATTGTACAAGTGCTTTATTTAGTCTGTGCTTCATTACCTAACTTTTAATTATTTTTTTCTAGAATTAATTGCTTAACAGCTCACTTTGTAATTATGTGGTGCATTATTTCCACCTGCTACAGTACATTTAATGTGCGTGCCTCTAAAAAGCATTTATTGGAGGATTTTAAAACATGTGATCCCTAGTTTGTAGCCATAGCTCCGAGGCCACATATAGAATAAATTATAAATGCACGCATTACCTTCTAAAACTCATTTTAGGCGGCATCTCAGCAAATGTTATCTGCAGTTCAATAAAGTTCACAGCAGGGCTTGTGAAAAAAAGAGCACTGTGTGATTCTAAGTTATTATGTGTGGAAACTCTATAGCAGCCCAAACACAAAGGGGATGACTTTAAACCTCAGTGCATCGCTAAGACTTGTGTTTGCACTGCTGTTGCTTGGCAATAGAGCATTGCACCCTATTCTTGTCCTTGACAAATCTGTTTTTTTATCATTGCACCTTGGTGGTGTTTAAATGTGCATTGTACTCTTCAGATATACTGATAGCACAATGGTTACACATGTAGATCTTGAACATTGGCTTGTACGTTGTGATTTTAGTAACTTAGGTATTGGTAGAATGTCCATTTCTTTGCAAGGCATGCCATATGGAAGCTTGTTTCACCCTAGCTATATGAAATTCTGCAAAGTGCATTGTCATAAACATTTACTGTCTTCTTTCACATCCAAAATTGCAAGTGCTAAACTTCATTTGTTTAGCAAGAGCAAATGTTTACAAGCCATTCGTTTTTTTTGTTCGAATACTACAGAATAATTGTGGCTGTTTGTAAAGTCAAAGCTCTCCTGGACGTGTTCTAAAAACTACAATAAGAAATCATCTATGAACCATACAAAATAAGGGATATTTTTCAAAATCTGAATAATAACACTTATTCCAGCAGTTAAAATGCCTTTGTTTAAGGTGGTAGACCTTGAATGGATTTAAATTTTGCTGAATGTCATCAGCAGGTTATTCCATGTTGAGCATATGTTTCTCGGTTGCCCGGTGTGGTCACCAAAAACCTGCATAGCAATGTGGCACCCATTCAGCACAACACTGCAAAATTGTGCAATAGTTATAAAGTACACTTTTTTCATGAGAATTATTTATATTGCTTATAATTTATATCCACGTCCCATACCAGTAAAGTGTAACATCGGCATATTATTATTGACAAATATACATTAAACGACAAACCACGATCTCAAGTCTTGACATTTAAAGTTATATCGAATACATTTTATTTCGTACAGGCTTTAAACTTATTCAAAAGCCCTCGAAAAGGAACAATTGATTTGATGTTATTTTTAACGCACAGCACATTCATTTTACGGGTGCAATCTCGATTGTGCTTATGTTGACAACTTTTCTGCACTCAGGCTGGATGATTGATGCGGAGAGCCGTCCACGATTCAAGGAGCTGGCTGTGGAGTTCTCCAAAATGGCTCGAGATCCTCAAAGGTACCTGGTTATTCAGGTCAGTCGCTCCCCATCACAAACATGGACATTCGTATTGGCCACCATCATTTCCCATTTTCCTGTTAGCGTGGCCCAGCTGACGGACGCCATGGTGCTTTGTGGGGGGTGAACAGGGCTCCGAGGCAATCACACCCGCTCGCTGCCATCAACAGCGCCTAAGGCCAAGAATCGCTTTCCTTAGCACCACTTAATTCCAGCAGGGATAACAGTTTATTAAAGTGCCTTGTGCAGCTTTTAACTCTTTCATTTAGGTGTCTTCTGGGGCAATCTGAAATCTAATTAAAAACTGCTTGCATATCAATTTACAGCTGAATACATTGAAAAGGATTTGCATGTGGGATCCTATGCACAGCACAATTAATAAATAATAACTTTTGACTAGATTTTTTGTAATTTTTATTAAGCTGAAGGAGCCTCATTTAAACATTTTTATTTCCATTTTCTTTTTTCACACATGGATATACATTTATTTTTAATCGAGATGAGAATTAAGCACAGTTAAGATGTCCCTTCTTGTATGATTTTATAAGGAAATCAGATTTCTGCCAATGAACCGCTTGGCATGAAATATCTTAAAAGGGCCAAACATGAACATTTCTGTGATGTATTGTATACATATTTAATGCATTGTAGAGTATAATGGTTAATATTTAAGGTTGAAAATCAACTTCTTTGCATGAAAATACAATAAAATTGTCAGCAGCAGAATTCTCAGCGGCATTCGTTATGCATAATGCAAGGCCGGAATTTGAAGCGGTAGAGAGTGCCAATGAATACATTATTCAGAGCCATCTTCAGTCGGAGGCTGTAGCATCAAAGATGCATTTATACATGCCTCGGTACAGCACAATAAGGGCTAAATAGGCTAAATAGCAATATGAGGCTTGGGCTTTTGTATAGTCTACCAATTAGCATATACGCTTAGGCTTATATAATAAAAGAAAAAATATTCGTTTTAAACAATATTAACCATTATTGTATTTTTTGGTGATTTATATGTGTTATTCAACGTGCCTTTTGTGAAATTTCCTCATTGAGTTAATGTACTTACGAACATAATTAGCAATATCTCTATTTATTTTGAAGATTTGTTTCCACATTTATGAAAACTGCGGGGGAAATGCAATAAAGCATCGGAATGGGGGACTTTAATGAAGAAGTCGGTAAAAAGTGCAGGTATGACTAGATGATTTTGCTAGGTTTGACATTTGAGTGTGGAATGAAATGTTACTCGAGTTTGCAGTCAAGAAAGACGTGAAAACAATGAACACCTTCAAAGAAAAATGAACGTGGAATAGTTAAGATGGTGAAATTAGGAATGAGGTTGATGTACGTCTCATGGAATTGAGACTGTTGGAGACATCTTTACCTTCAACAAATTCAACATAAGCAGACCATCCAGGCAAGATCCACTTCAACATAACCAAATAGAGAACAAAGCTAATTAAAGGTACAGTTAAAGATGATAAACGTCAAATATTTATGTTAGGATGTATCTGATTTTGGACAAACTCTAAGTAACACATTTAAATACCTTTTAAATTAATGAAATGGATTTCACCACTTAAAATAATGCAATCACAAGAAATGTAATTGATAGTGAATTGAAAGTGAAGGAAAAAATTGGAAATAAAAAAAACATCTGAACCCACAAAATACATGTTGAGGATAGATATCAAAAGATGCTCAACAAAAGGATTGAATAGACAGAACTGTGTAAAATGATTAGCATCGGTTTTCTCCAGGTATCCTGGTTTTATCACACGTGTATAAAAACGTATTCATGGACTTGTCCAAAAATCCAAATACAGCACCACAGACAATGGTCAATTGTTGGCACCTGTCCTGGCTGCCTTGCCGCTTATCTGTAGTTTCCCATGCCTCCATGCGAAGACTGTGTGTAACATTACAAATTGTAGAGCATTTTCTAGAGTGTGAGAAGAAATACATAAATTATGTATGTATATATACAAATTAAACATTACCATTATTATTATGAACAGTAACATGATGGGACATAATAGCCACCATTCTGGCACCCTAACCAATGACCACCACCGATCCCCCTCTAACCACCATCCCCACGCCATTGCGCTAAAGCAGTGACCCCCCCCCACCCCCGCCAGAGACCCCCGACAATGCGACGCTGTGACAGCAGGGCCCAGCAAGATGCTCGGGCACCGTGATGCATAAGCGGCAAGGCCCCACGAGAGTGGCATGGCCAAGTGGTAGCCCCCATTGCCGCTTGTTGCGGGGGTGCACAGTTCCAGTCCAGCGGCCGCCCTGGTGTGCCGTCTGCTTCCCAGTTGACGGTGAATGTCCATGATGTTATCTTAGGCCATGCTCTCCAGCGTCAAGTTACAATTTTTTATCTCCAAATTTGATCAACTACTTGCAAATTCTTCTTGGTTCTTTCGGTAAAGTCACGTAGAAGGGAAGTAATAAAATAATACAAATAAAACATAATAAAATAAAATAATTCTCACGACGTTTCGGCTACAACGCAAGCAGCCGTCTTCAGGTGAAGAATGAGACACTGCCAAGCTAGAAGCTTATATATAAGCTGCGTTGGAGGTGGAAGAAGAGCGCCTTAACAAAGGAATGTGCATATGAAGAGGGATTTAGCATATTCATGGATAATGCGTAGGAGGTGGGCGGGGGGGGTTTCAAAGTCATATTATGCCCATGCATTATGCAGGATCAACAGCACCAAGGGGGGGTGCAGGGATTAGCAGTAACAAAGGAAAGGAATGTTAATGATATGTAGCTGCAGTTACTCAACAACCACGTAGAAAACTACATAAAAAACTAAAGTATAAATTGCATAGCACCATCAGTATACTTACTATACTCTACAATAAGCTGAGTTACTAACAGCAAGTAATGATGGTGCTATGCAATTTATACTTTAGTTTTTTATGTAGTTTATACTTTAGTTTTCTACGTGGTTGTTGAGTAACTGCAGCTACATATCATTAACATTCCTTTCCTTTGTTACTGCTAATCCCTGCACCCCCCCTTGGTGCTGTTGATCCTGCATAATGCATGGGCATAATATGACTTTGAAACCCCCCCGCCCACCTCCTACGCATTTTCCATGAATATGCTAAATCCCTCTTCATATGCACATTCCTTTGTTAAGGCGCTCTTCTTCCACCTCCAACGCAGCTTATATATAAGCTTCTAGCTTGGCAGTGTCTCATTCTTCACCTGAAGACGGCTGCTTGCGTTGTAGCCGAAACGTCGTGAGAATTATTTTATTTTATTATGTTTTATTTTTATTATTTTATTACTTCCCTTCTACGTGACTTTACCGAAAGAACCAAGAAGATGAATCCCTGCAGTCACGAAAGCTTTAAATCGATACTTGCAAATTGTATGTATGTTGAACTTATTTCGCACCATACGTAAAAAAATAAGTTTATTGGAAAAAGAAACACATGCAGCATTGCCCACTTCTGGTAGACTAAAGCCCATTTATTAAGGCCATTGGCTGTCAACCTTGTTTTGTACAGGGGACAACTGCAACTGTGGGTCCCCTTAGTCAGACTGCAAAAGGGCATTCGAATGGTTCAGATGATATGTGATGTCAGATGCTCTGCGTCGGATTTATTACCATTATCAGGCATGGTCAATCCACTGTTGGATGAAGGCCTATACAAGCCACTGTCATCTTCCATGATTCACCTTGCACCTGCACGTAAACTGATTTCATCACTTCATCTCCCGAGTCTACGTCCTCTTGGACGCATTCCATACCTTGGCTGCCACTCAACCAACATCCCTGACCATCAACTATTGTCCCGTTGAGCAACGTACTGTGCACAAGACAACTTACTTTTCTATTAAGCACTCTACAAATGCAACGGCATATCCACATCCATGCCAAGGTGTAGAAGCAAACAGCATGGTCCTGGAAGAATCCTCACACACGATGCAGTCACAGCAAGGCCCAGCAGCAGTCCCCATTCCACAATGTCGTTTTTTGTACACTTGAGTCATTTTAAACACTGTGACATTCTCGATGTAGCACATCAGGTGATGGTAATGTGAGTTTCAGTTTTTATATGGGGTAGTTTGTATCCAACTATCTAGCTGTTGCATGCTGTGCATGTAAATAGTTGGCTGAAAAGGTTCAGGAATTCATGCTCAGACTTGAAACACTTCAAATTTAATCAGGGCTGAATGTCTTTTTTATGACAAATCCAGTGTCCGTGACACAATTATATTAACTGTGCCAGTTGTTACACATGTATCAGTTGTGTAATCATTGAGACAATGTAAGTGTCCCATACGTAAAACATGCTTCACATTAAGATTGTTAAACTCGCAGTCTTATATCCAGCCATATAAGGCAAGGATGGAAAGATATCTTGCATTATAAAATGTGGCACTGCCCAATTTTATGGTTTTAGGGTTGGCTGAATAACATTTGATTTCCCTTTTTTCATGATAAAGATAGGCAGTGTCTACATTCGTGTAATTTGACTGCCTGTGACGATACAATCACCAGGTGACTGTGTATTTTTATTGCAATTTTTATCATATCACAGGTGAATGCAAATTACGTTTAACCAGTGCCAGAATTTCTGATAATTCTCGTGGTAAGGAAATGGTACATTCATAAATAACCAATTACATACTATAAACATAATTGCATGAAGTGATTGAAATACATCATAAGACCACGATTTAAATAATTCACAGATTCGTATCGTTTTATTTTTCAATATGGTTATACATAAATTTAATACATGTTGTTGCATGATTTATACTCAGAAGAGATTGTAAAAATAATCATAAGCCTCTACTCTTGTCACTTTTATGGCATTTTATTGAAATGTTTTGCCTTACTTTACCTTTTGCAAAGTCCAAGCCTGGTCTTAATCTCGGTCATTTCAATCAGTTTGTTTGAAAACAGCTTCTGACCAGTGACTTATAAACTACAAGTCAAAGGATTGGAACATAATAAACTACCTACCATATGTATGATCAATTAATCTAAATATTGTTCATTTTATATTTGTAAATGCCAAGTTTAATCCCAATGAAGTAAGTAACAGTTAAAGTAAATCAGTTATCTTGTATATGTTTAAGATACAAATGTATACAAAAGTTGCATTACTTCTGGCGTTCTTTTTTTCAAGACGCAATTATTGAAGTGTATTATGCGATTGGTACCACATGTTCTCGTTAAAGGGCGGCATTTTTACAAACTTACATCACAGTATGTTATCTGCATATTCCAATTTAGTAGAGTATTTAGCCGTGATACATTTCCACATGATAAGCCACTTCGTTGAGCTATCATTTGTGGCCAGATCGCTTCTGAAAAAGAGTTATTTCACTCAGTGGGCCCAGCATGATGAAATAAAACATGTTTTAGTTTATTTTGTAGTTTATACCTCTTATAACATGTCTGTTCAACAAGTGGACCAAATTCCCTCTAGAATTCGCTCTTGTGGAATCCATTTCGCCAGTAGTGGCTTGAGCTAGCAACCATAACCTTGTTACTTTGGTTTGCTCCCAAGTGCCAAACATTCAACAATGGAATTGGCCATACATTCACATTCAGGACCCACCTGAAAGAGAGACTGGAGACCCAGTGAAGCTTTGTTTGGGTAAATAAGTAGCACATTGCAATTGTGCATGACCTTTACTGACTTGTGATTCCTGTGCTTCCATCCCCGGACCATCACAGGGTGATGACCGCATGACGCTCCCCAGCCCCTCGGACAGCCATTTTCTGCAGAGTCTTCTTGCCGAGGAGGACATGGGTGATGTGGTGGATGCAGAAGAGTACCTCATGCCTCAGCAGAACTTCTTTGGAGCCAGTGGGGAGAATCACAGTGGAGAATCTGACAAGGTACCTCTCCATCCAAATCAAGATTGTGTTCCGCTTGTTCGATTTCCCCTTCTCTCGTCTTGCAAAGACAAATGGAGGTAAAATAATAAATATGTTGAGATGTGCAAAAACCGTGCAAAATACTGTGACATTTTAGATATAAATTAACCTTACTAATCTTGCAGACCCACAGTATACATTTTACATTCATATATGTGTACATAGAAACTATTAAATAATTTAAACAAACGATCTTACGGTGCTTTATCAATCAATTACTCTATAGCGTCCCCATGCTATGTCAATCATTGGGTTTTACTTTTAGACTATGCTTCACCATACTGGTAAGTGAGGCTTCTTAAAGGCTAGAAGCCTCAAAATTGGTTTCATTTCACTCACCACTGACGTTATTCATGGCTGGGAATCGAACTTAGATTTCTGGGTTCAGAATGCAGTGTGCTAACCACTGTGCCACTACTGCGTTCATTTAACCAGTTTGAACTAAATAAATAAAGTGTGGAAATTTTTTTGTGTATAATTTTTCCTTATTCTGGAAGATAAACAGTTTCATATGACACTGTAATTAGTGTACAATGCCCTAAGTAAAATAGATATTTACACTACGGAAAATCCTCAAAGTTATAACACAACCTCCTTTGGACACTGCCCTGCTTTAGATATATTGATGAATACATATGAATGTATCATTGTCTCATCTATAGGTGTTTTGTCTCTGTTCATCATTACTTCTCGTTGAGATAAGTTGTATTTTACATTGTTCTAAAATGTTTTTTCACCAAGGTAACGTATTCATCCACGCTTAAAATGAGTGCAGTGGTGATGCAATGAAGAGGGGGGGCTACACCCTACCCCGTACAATCTCAACACCTGGCTCGTTTGTGAGCAGTGAGGACTCTCAAGGAGTACGGAAACCGGCTCAAAATAATGGGGCCTGTCGATTAATGTGGAGGTTTGCTCTACATTTCGTGTCGAGGTTGGGTGAAGCGACTTTAAACGTTCAGAAAAGAACACGGAAATCAAGTGTTGTGCAGAAGATATATTCATAAAAAAATTGTTGTGATAGCAAGGTGTACGTGCAGGATGGAGGAGGCATATTACCAAGGGCAGGCATTGGAGTCGGTGCCCAAAATAAACCAATATGAAGACTGAATGCCAGATGATTTAGGATTGGAAGAGCAGACCTTGAAGGTCTTCTGTAACATGCACATGCTGTGGAATCTGACAGAAAAGCAATAGGCTTAGGGTTGTGTGGTGGCATCAACAACACTGGCCGTGATGACCTCTGACTGGCTACCCTGCCCATGCCGAATGGGAAGTGCTTTGGGGAGGGGTCTGGGCCTTGGAGTAGTCGAATTACCACTGCATTAGCATCTTGGTAATTTAGGGTTTTTATTATTTGTATATGTATAATCCTATTCCTAAGGCATGGCTACAACTACTGCCACAAAATATATCTTGAGTTCTCAGCTGGTTAAACAGAATAAACAAAAAACGAATGTTCTCTTTCTTGAGAGCAACCTTGGGATGAGTTCTGCAATTATTGTCAATAATTTTGGCCATCACAAAAATGTGCATATGATAAATGAATACAGCCATGTCCTGTAATATTACATTATTTACATTTACCTGAAATAACTCATTAATCATGTCAGAAAACACTGCTTTAAAAACATTGTACATTACATTTGTTTCAAAGTATTGTCACGTGTATTTGTACATTAGAAAGACAATATCCCTTGAAATATACCAAAAATATCCTACGTAAAAAAATGTAAGCTTTCTTGAGAATGTAATGACTCTTGTATGTTTTTTTCTTATTTCATATAACTCCTTACTCTGTGGATGCTGCTGCTGCTTCTGGTGCTGAAATGTTATGAAGTCTATCATGAGCAACAGCTACAGTGTCCATGGCCCTGAGTCCATCTCAAATATTTGCGTAAGTTTTGCATGTCCTCTACGGTGTAATGCATTTTATGTGACTAAGACTTTTACACATTCATGTATCGCACAGGTGAGCATATGTTACTCCATGAATGCCATACTTTGTACAACTTAATTAACTTGGTAGCATATCACCTGATTGCGTTTTTTGCATTGAAAAAAATAAGAGTTTGGGAATAAATGTAAACACATTCGTGTTCGATGAATTTATATTTACGTGTCTGTTCTATGCTCAAATGCTTTTGGAAATGCCTCCGCTTTCATCACCTTAGCATACAGAGTGCAGCGAGTGTCAATGCCAACAAACGTGGTTTGCTATTGTGCACGCTGCAGAGTCTATCGTGGAGGGGTATGCACCACTGCTGAGCATAAACCATCACGCGAACTCCGATTATCTTCACATTCGTTTTTGGCGGCTAGCCCTCGAACAAACACGGTCACTGCATCGCGTGCTTTCAGATGTCCATCTGGAACGCTCTTCCTTCCGACATTAGGAAGCAACTGGCGCTATGCACTTTTAAATCTCGATTGAAAACTCATTTCTTTAGAAGCCACTTTTTTGTTTAGTTTATTGTCCTTCCCCCGCACCTCCGATTAGCATGGTTGGTTATATACGGTACGAAATAAATTCAACATACCTACATACAAAAGCAACATGCTGATTGTAAAATGCAATAATAAACTAAAATTTAATGTAAAATTATGTACATTTTGACATGATCTCAGTTTCACCAAGTCTGGTATTTTTTTGCTGGCGGATTGGATATTGTATGCACAGCTGCAACTATAATTGTTGTTGTCACTTTGTATTAGTGTTCAAACACTTCCATTGGCTACGTTCTTGAAACTGATCATTGAGGTTGCAGCTGTGCATGCAAACGTACATCAACAATATCAAATTAGATTGTTGAGCATAGCACCTGAAAACACAGTCTCTATTTAAAGAAACATTTTAGGTTCAATATCGGTCCTGTTATACTGTGTATTGTAAATATGTATATTCAATTTTTTATAATCAATAATTATCTATTATGAAGTGTATGTAATGAGAGTTTTATGTTATTCCATATATTTGAGTTCGAATTGAAGACATTCATACCAGCTTAACTGTCGTAACAGTGTTTTGTCAATCAGGCTCAAGGGGGTAAATTATGCTGTTTCGTATTAAACCCTGTTTTCCCAATGATGTTGCATGCTCTAAACATATTGTAATTCTACATTTATATTTAAGATCAATACACATTTGTTTTTAAACATTTGCATATTTGGGGGCTCAGCATATTTTTAATAAGTGCTACGGTTATGAATTTAAATTGAGACTGTAACTTGCTTGGGCTGCACTTGAGAATGGAGTCCAAGACACTTTCGGGTATGATTTTGGAATCACTTAAGCGGATATTTTTTACACCTCTGGTTGCACTTCCTCAGCATTATTACATTGGCATTTGTGGTGCTCAATTGGTTTTAGGTGCTTCGTGTGCATATGATAAATATATAATTCCGTATTATGATTCATAGTTGATGTTTGAGCAAGGCCACGTAAGGATCAGACCAAATTTAATCAATAATCACTCCATTAAACGCTTGTATGCATGACAATTAGGGTTGTTTGGCTTTGTCGGGTGGTGGAGGGGTCTGAATAACAGAAATCTGGCCAGATTATTATATGGTGACATGTTTTTTTTAATATATAGTATTTGTTCTCTCAGCAATGTAAATGTGGTGCTTATTATTTTGTTCTGATTATAAAAGGCACCTCTGGTCTTTCTTGCAACCCCACATTTGGAATGCTTTTTGGATTTTCATGTTTCTATGCACCAATGCACTAGATTGTGAAATAACCCTTCCTTGGATAATTGCTCTTATTTTAAGGAAATTTTAAGTGACCATCTACATTCGTAGGATCGAATGTACAGGACAAAAATTTCCATATTTATAATGTTCACAGCTCAGAAGAGAGGTATGGGCAGCAGAAGGAGGCTGGAGGAAGATTGGGGACAAGATTATACAAGGGTAAAAGCAGTGAAACAAGGCTTGGAATGTGGGAGGAATAGCAGTCTGAATAGTGCAGGGATGATTATAAACAACATAAGGAAAAGAAGACCAAGGAACCACGTGGAAATTATTTGCTGGTTGAGCTAATATGCAGTGTCGACTTCAAATGTTACATTTTATTTTCATTACAGCAATATGAGCAAATAGCATCAAGTTACATAACCACATACTTTTACAAACACAAGGCAAGCAGTAATCTCAGATGGGGTTTTAAAAATGGCTTGGTACATTATGTTTATTTGGCTGCTAGAAATTTTCACATGATAAGCCACTTCGTTGAGCTATCATTTGTGGCCAGGTGGCTTCTGAAAAATTGCTATTTAGCTGAGTTGGCCTTACCTGGTAAAATAAAAAATAGTTTAGTTTAATCCAATAAATTATGTTCCTTTAAAGCTTATTCTGCTACTCAAACCCTTCCGCTCTAAGATACTTGTTCTGGGATGGTAGCAGCGTATTTCTCAGTTTTTTAAAAAATATTGCTGCACTTACTCTTTGGTTCTTTCGGTAAAGTCACATAGGTATAAAATAAAGTAAATCACGATGTTTCGGGCACAACACAAGCGTCCGTCATCAGGTGGGAAAGCATGGTCTGCTGCTGAGGCAGACTGTTTTAAAAGGTTTCAAATGGGTGTAGCCCAAGGGTCATAAAGAAGTGGCCGGGGCTAGTCATGTTAATGTGAGAAATTAGCATGTAACTGTAAGATAGAAGGAGAGCGGCCTCCTCGACGAGGGCACGGAAGTGGCTATGCTAATGTGAGAGATTAGAATGTCAATGTAAATAGAAGAGTGGTGCAATCCAAAGGCATGAGTGCAACCCAACGGGTGCAATCCAAAGGGCATGTGAGTATGAGAGTGCAATCCAAAGGACATGTGAGCATGAGAGTGCAATCCAAAGGCATGAGAGTGTAATGCAAAGGACATGTGAGCATGAGAGATCTAAGAGAGAGGCATAGAGAGAGAGAGAGACACAGAGAGTCGGAAATATCAGCTGACATAGGCAGGTAGGATGGAAACATCGCAGTCAGTTAAGACTTTACCTGGTTAATAACGTCCTTCCAATGATTGCTCAGTTTGTACCCATCCTCTCGGTTGAAGTTGTGTCTGTATTTATATATCTGGATGGCTTCATGAACAAATCTCTGAAGGTAACCAGTTGGTTAGCAGAGTACCTTCATCTTGGTAAAATAAATTTCGTGTGAGCCCACATCGTTAAAACAATGATCGGCAATGGCAGAGGTATTGGTCCTACCGTGTTTCAGATCTGCCTTGTGTTCACGAACACGGTCCGAGACATGTCGTTGCATTTTTTTGTCAAAAGCCTCTCCTATGGGTGTCGAGGTGCCATAGCCTGGCTTGCCAGGAGTATGTGCACAGATGTGGACTCCCTTCTGTTCCATCTGTATGTGATAGTGTTGCCCCCCTGCCCACCACGCGTGTCGATTTTCTTCTTGGGTTCTCGCTTCTTCACACATGCAAATACTCATTAATATGACAGCAGAGCCTGGACAATTGTTGTCTCTGGCTCACCACGTGATGTGTGTCTTCCTGCTCATGGGTCTCCTTGAGTCGTTCTATGTATTCGAGAGTGAATGAATGCTGTGCGCATTGAAACTTGAAATTATTACTATTGTAATGGGTTCAACTGAGTCGCCGACGTAGACTTGGAGGCAAAACATTTATTCAGTTCCAACACACGGGGTAACTTCCCCTTAAACAGAATAACAACTTATGGTGGTGACCACCAGGCTAACTACACTAGTTACAACGTAACTGCTACTACGGACTGGGACCAACAGCTTGGGTCCAGGTCCATGTGTTGGAGACTCGTTAAATGGAGAACGTAGACGAAGGTTTCTTCCAGGATGAACAACCCCGGTCCCTCTCGGGACCCGGCTTATATTCTAGAATCCTTAGGAAGGATCTGGGTCCCAATCACGTGACCACCCCTAGCTCCTCTGGGGGCCCTTTTGTAGACTTAACTGGTCACGTGTCCTCCCGGGTCAACCAGAGTGCCATGGCCTCGAGTAACCTCATCCTTCGGCCCGCACTCACACACCCTGTCCTGTAGGGCCGGCACTGCATGCAAAGCGTGGTGCCATCTAGCACCATCCATTCAGCGCTCACCGGGCCCCTCTAGGGCCGGTACTACACCCACACCACTGTGGTCCCCGCGATGTCGCTACAGCGCACGCCGTGCTCCTCTAGGGCCGGCCCTGCACGCAACATGTTGACATCCAGTGATGTCACTACACTATTACTACCATGGCACACTGAGCACCAGCATTTTCATACCCAGTGCCAGTCCAGGAAACAGCACCCAAGGCCTAGGCTTGCCAGTCCCTATGCCCTGTAAAATGGGAAACTCCAGGGGCTCGGCCTTTCCCACTCCCATCTAACCAATCCCCTCCCACTGCCGCCCCCCAATACTTTTTGCGAACTAGGAGTGTAAGTTGCAAAGCAGTATTCTTTAAAAATATATATCATTTTACAAAGTTTTACACAGTCCATTGTTAGTGAGCATTGGTGACTTTACTGTACTGATGAGTCCTGAAAATAACGAAACCAGTCAACAGTTATCTCTCTGTCTCATTGCTGCCTGTCAGTTGGGTCACATTTTGCTCAAAATGTTTCTTGGTGACCTAAGACAAGAGGTCCATAGTTCAATTATTTCCCCTTAACTTGTGTTTAAAAATACCATGTCCGTGGAAAATGTCATTGGCTAGTGATATTTGAACCTGTCCTGGCCTTCCCCATGTTGATTCACCCTTCAGTGAATATTCTTTCCAATGTTTACGTTTACACATAATAAGCACTGGGAGACTAAGACAAGTAGGTGTGATTGTGGTCGCAACATCCTCTTTGTGTGCGGTACTCACCTTAATAGGTGCTCACTAACATAAATTGTCCCAACATTCTATAAAAGGCTATACGGGGGATCATTTCCTTTCTGTTAATGTGCTTGCTATTGCATTTGTTACGTTGTGTTACCTGCCTGTGTAGTGTGTAGAGATAGTCTTATAATTAGAACCTGTGTAAATCCAATTTATATTGTATTTATGTCACTATTCATGGACTAAAAAAATAACACAAGTCTGTTCTTTTAGAAATACAAAGCATCAGTTGGTTCAGAAAACATACCAACAAGATAATGCATCTGTTCATTCAATAATAAATATAAGTTTTATTGTCTGAATAATGACCAAATACACCTCTAAGCCATTCTGTACCAGTTCATTGTTGTAACTCTTCAGTCCTTAGCGAATGCAGCATCAGCAAAATACTTAAAAATTATGGTGAGTTTGGCAATTTTGTTCTTTTCGATATTTTGATGGGAAAAAATAACTCCCTTTCGAGATATATATTTGTTGTGTTTAAAGCTTAGTGCCCGATTGTGGACAATGCTAGTAGTGATGCTGTCATTTCCTTAACTGATTGTCAACCGGATTTCAACACATCATTTTATGCAGAAATTCCAAAATAAACACCAAAACCTTTTTTTTGGAGTTATCATAAATACAAGCAAAGCAAAACTGAATTCTCTGTGAACAATAGTCCAGAAAGTTCCCTGGTCATTCCTTACAGTTTATGTCTTCATTTCATTCTTCCCACCAGAACCTATCAGGACCTTATGCCTCCACATCCTACCTTCCTATGAGAGGAGTAAGTGCTAACGGCTTTTACTGTTGTGCTGACTGCATACTAATAACTTATAATTGCTTTGTGACTGGAGGAGACATTCCTTTATGAATAAGGATGAGCTAATGTATTGCATGTTATTTATTTTATGGTGACGTATATCCTTATTATTGCTATATTTGTCGAAATATTTCACAGGGAAAATGACCCTGTACAGCTCAAAGTTTACAAAAGTATCAACGATGTTAAATATAAATGTTGGCGAGTAGCTTGTCAGCTAAAGAGATGAAACCCATTTAAATGCCGCCTCAATGAGTCCGCCAAGATATCAGAGGCGGAATAGGTCACGCATTTTCCTTCCTCAATTAATATGTACTATTTTTTTTATTTTTCTATTCAACGCAGACCTCCCTCCAGCAAGACGACAATGCACAGGCTCAAAATGGGAACCTTGGACAAAACGGACATCTGGCTCGCCGGCTCTCGGACCAGTCGCGGCAGAGCGAAGCGTCGGTGTGCACGGCGGCCTGCGCTTCGTCGGCCTGCACAGCCGCCTGCGTGGCCGCCTGCACGCCAGAGTGCAGCGCCTTCGACGCTTCCTGTTGCAGCGGCGGTAGCCCGATCGCATGCGCTCAGCAGCAGGGTCACAGAGCCCGACAGGACAGCACCACGCAGCGCTACAGTGCCGACCCCACGCTCACGCTTTACGAGGCAGCCGCCCCCAAGGTCGCAGTGCGCCTGGACGAGGAGGGATACGTCCTGCCCAACGCAAGCGGCTCCGTGCCTGGTCAGCACCGCTTTGCGCTGTACTCGCTTGCCGAGGACGTCACATTGTCGTCGGTCTAGATTCAGTGACTCGTGTGATCAGTTACCTTTTTTTAAGTGACGTAATTTATACAATTCTGTTTTACGTGGCTTTGATCTGTGGATACATATTGAGAAGCCTCTGCTATCAATTTTAATACGTGAACATTTAAACTACTCTAAATATCACTTAATTTACTTAAAAAAACGCAAGTAATAAAATCGTGGTTTGATTTAGGCCTTCATTCTTTCATTGCATTTCTATTTTAAGAATTTTCGGACTGTACTGATTCATGGAAATAGTACAGTTCTGGTTAGGTGTGTGGGGATAGAGTCCAATTGGTAAATATGCCCGGCCTCTAGCCACATTCATTACGTTTCGCTGATCAGCAAAACATAATGAATCCAGTAAATTGTTGGTTGATCATTGGCTTCAGTCACATACATTATACTGTGAGAATTTGATGGAGTTTGGGCATTTTTATTAATATGTATTTTATCCTCACGCACCATATTTTCAGTCAAATCAAACTATTCCTTTCGACAGTTAATTTCTATAAACAGGGAATGACTGCCCCCTTCAAGCCACAAATAGCTTTCTTGTGCACTATTTTTAGGCTAGAAATATGAATGACATTTTTGTTATCTATCTGGCCAATATGAAAGTGTACCATTTTTAAATGAGGAGTGGCCCATCCTCATCTCTATTAGCCATCTTGACCTACTGGTGGAAATAACACATTATTATGGCAGGTTCTACCTCCTTCCTACCAGCCACAATTTAACTTACCACCAGATAATGCGACGTGAATTCTATAGCACCATCATTTGGCTGTGTGTTGAATAATTTGTATCGATTTGTACTGGGATCATAGTCTGATTGGCTCCTTCCTTGGCCATTAAAATTATATGTTGAGTAATTTATTGATGATTAATGTATTGATGATTATGCATTTTCTTGCATAGATGTTTTGGAAGTTTGCGTGTCACCGTGGAACTTAGAAAATGGTTGACATTTGCTTGTATTGAGAAATTATCAATCACTCATGACAACTAAAAAGTTATTTAAAAGCCCAGTTGATACAGCTGACAAATATACATACGGAGCTTTGAGAAATACAAGGCATTAAAATGTATCAATCCATAATAAATCCATTGTTATTTAAAAGCCCAGTGGATACAGACAATAAATATACATGCACAGCTTTGAGAAATACAAGGCAATAATGATTTATCAATCCATTCTTAAAAGTTATTCATCATTGTCACTGTAGCCGATTGATTAATTAGAGCTCTCTGCCACAAAGTATGAAAGGAAATGAGGCTTCGTCACCTTTCTGCAAGCACCCAAATTTTTTATGGGAACATTTATTCCTTAGAAATTATGTTGGATGGTTCATCAAATGCATTTTGTACTTTAAGGTCTATGGGAAGTTGAACATTTACAAAATCTGTGCCAATTAAATTAGTTTGAAACTGCAACAGTGTTAGATTTTTTCCTGACAATCTTAAATATCAAGCATTATTTTGCTTGCGAAAATGATTAAAATATAAATACTAAATTTCATAGATACAGTATTATCAATGTAGTACCGTATATATTTTGGAAACAATATATTTAGCATTTTATTTTTAGTGTTTTATTTAAAACATCGTTTTTTCTGGACTTATGGCCAACAAACATGTTTAAAAATGCGTATATTAAAAATTATGTATTTTATGAATAAAGTGACACTTTGCCAATAATGCCTGCATGAATGAGAAACTATTTTATGAAATGTTCTCTGTTTAGTAGTCAACACAAAATATATTATTGTGCAAATTAATATAAGCAAGTAATAAACATTTGTAGGTTCTGATTTATATATCTTGTTTTCCATTTTCAGAATATCTGACACCAATAGAAGACAATCCGTTTGCAGCAGAGGTTTCCACAAATTCCCACGGGTGTGGATAACAAGGAATATCACAACGTGACGTGGGATAGGCATGGCTCAGCCAATGAGTATCTTAATGAGCCATGGTACATTAACAGCAGCCGTGGACTTTTAGATAATCCTGAATACATGGCACGGAATACAACGGCAGCTACTTTACCACGAAACTACCTTTCCAAAGAGCAGAAGTCCGAAGTTCAAAGCACACCGAGTGAATCTATACAAATCACGAGCGCACCAAATCGAGGAAGCTACAATACCAAGCCACAGAATATGGTTCATAATTTACTGAACCCTGCATACAATTCAAACAAAGTATCCATCCCCAACAAACATGAAAGTCAGAAAAAATTAACAACTCCTGAAAGCGCAACAACATCAACAGCATACCATGCAGTCCCAACATTTAACCCTATAACGGAGTGGAGGCAGCTGCTAATTCCAGCTGCCAGCATCAAAGGAAATACTGCTGTAAAAACACTACATCAGCAGGGTCACGTGGTCAGTACTATAAATAGTGAAAATCTGGGAGCGAACACAACAAAACAGGGCAATCAGGGCAATGATCTGGCAACAGTCAATCCACTTGTTAGTGTAATAAGCCAGATAAATCCAACTGCTGCCATTGGAAATTATGGTAACCAGATGAAAAAGTCAGCGGGCAAAAGCCACCAAGCACTTGGCACACAGAGCCAAGAAGAACAAGCTAAACGACCTTCAATCACAGATGTTGCTACCCAAGTAAACATGGTCAGGTTTCAGTCAAACTCGAGCAGCCAAAAACAAAGACCAACATATCAAAGTAATGTAACAGTGGTCCCCACAAGTCAAGAAACACAGGAAACCAAATTACCACCATATTACAGCCAAATTGTTGGCAAATCAGTCGGTGGAAACCAGTTTGGAAATTCAATGGACTATGCAAACCGTTTGATTAAGCCGCCGAGCTATGGAAGCCAGCCCATTTACACATCGACTCAAGATTGTCAAACTGAAGGTCTCCCAAAGATGCCAGGTTGTGCAAGAAAAAAATCACTCTCCTTTGGCAAACCGCAGGGCAAGCCGATATTGCAAGGACACAAGAGCATAGATGTTTCTATTCAGGAGAAGCAAATCAAAAGTGCATGCATTGATGGGAACAAAACCCAAGATCAGGCTCTCCATGGAAAGGATAAAAACAAAGAATTAAATCATGGAAATATAGTGAAGAGCTTGGGGCAGGAAGATGGCACCAGAAAAAAATCCACAGGGAAAGACATTGACGAAACACAACCATCACATCATGAAAGCCAAATGTTTAGGCCCACAGCACTAGGAAACTCCATGGTCATGACACCCTCTAAAGTGGGTCAGCGCATCTACCCAGAAAGCCATGGCAGGCAATGGATAGGTTCACCAAAATGTGGTAAAAATCCCACAAACTCTGCACACCAGAACAACATGGAACCCAACCAATCAAATAAAGCGAAGCAGATCGTTACTACGGCAACCACTGGGAACTATGTGGTTAATCCACCACACCATAGCGCAAAAGCACCTGGCATGGTCACGGTGGACAATGCAGTGTACTTACAGGGAAGCTTTTCAAACTGGACTCAAAACCAGAATGGACCAGTTGTGAACGGCATGTTGAACAAGAGGCACTGATCAACAATTGCAACATGGTAAAGTGCTGCCTTGCTGTAGCACGAATGACACTTTGGTATGATATATGACTCGTCAAAACCTGTTTGGCTGGACCAAGGTGATGTATGTGTTATCGCAACAAGCAAGGAGATTATGTAAAATAATTGTATCTGCCAATTAACAAGGTTTATTTTTTAACATATGGTGTATATGCTTAACTTAGTACTTAATATTGTACAGTACCACAGCCTGTTACTGCTCATAACAAATATTTTCGTATTATCGAAGATACAGTATGTATGTTGGTGTTTACTACGTTTTAGGATAACAATGACAATGAAGAGTGATAAGTATGTAATATTGGCAGAAGCGAAGGCCGACATATTAGACTGGCCACGATCTTTCCATAACTGCTGATTCGTTTTCAGAGTGATAATAATTATAGATAAATCTTGACTAAGCTTTCGTGACTCCAGGGATTCCTATTCTTTGGGTCTTTCTGTAAAGTCACGTAGATCGGTTGGAAATTAAATAAATAAACTACTTTTTTTTTCTTTTTCTATCAACCTATCTACGTGACTTTACCGAAAGACCCAAAGAAAATTGTAGATAATTATATGTAAGTCAGAGAAAGCAGATGTAAAATTCAGTCCATTCACATCACTTTATTGTGTAAATTATACGAATGACTGAAACAGGATTGTATATTTTTTTCCATGTAATTAACCTTTATATTAAGAGTCTTAAGCTTTGTTAATATGAAGACGAGATACCTAGTCTGAGCAGAAAGTGTATCAACCAATAGCAGGCAATGCAGCTAATACAATGACTTTTATTTAATAAACATAATTATACGAACAGGGTGTACAGAGTCAGCACACTACAGTAGCAGATGTAGGAAACACTTCTCATGATAGATTTATGATGCTTGTGTTATGTTAAATGTGAGTAAAAATACAAATGTTGGTGCAGAAACAAATCAACACGTGCAGATTGTAGTTTGAAGACAGTGACTCATTTATAATCCATGGGAATCTCAGAAGAAACACAAAGCCAATTATTACAATCGGTGTCCATAAAGTACTATATACTATTTTACAGTACAATGTTAAGGCTTTGTAAAGTAAACCATAATGCTAAGTGTATGCGCACAGCACATTCTACTTCAGTAATTTTTGTATATTTGCGACATCTTATCAGTCACCGTGAAAATCAAAGAGCATATGTGGCACTTTTTATTTACCAAAAAAGTTACGCTTGTAATGTGTTGGATTTAAAATATTTGCAATATTGGAACAGAAATGTGTAACACCTGTTAAAACGTTGCTTTAATTGTGATTCACCTTGTGGATGTTTAATTCGCACACACACACAAATGTTTTTGATAACATAAGGATTGTACAGATACTTTAGGACAGTAAAAATGTTGTCGAGAGCCTGAAGCAGATTTCACTTGGGGTCCATTAACATTGTTTAATGGCTGGCCCTGAAACCATGATACGTAATATTTGTAGGGCAGGGATGAATGAGTTTGCATAACAATCAAAAACAGTTTTAACGCACAGTAATCTCAGAGTTATTTTAGGTCAGTCTCAATCAGAATATTGAAGCCAGCCTAATTAAATGGCTAAAAGTGGAAGAGCAATTCTGAAAAATGCACCAGGGTAAGTACTACATTTTGCAGTCGTTTATTAATCAGATGTGTCAAAATTTAAATAAAAAGCTGGTATTTTAACGAAGTTGAATGCTAGCCAGATAAATGTTTCTCCTGATGTCCTGGTAACCTTCATATCCTTGTAATATAGGCACATTTGATAAGACTTCCAACAAATGAATACGTGGTTTAACTACAATACAAGAAACAATTTCAGGAATGTGAGATGTTCTTCTGAATCTCAGGCAGATTTTACGGACCATTGCAACGTTTACATTGACCAAATTATAAATTTACAATGTTTAGAATATCTTACAATGAAAGTGTAATATGTGTACATTATTGCACTTAACCATTGAGAGTTGTTAAAGTTAGGAGGAAAAAAGTCAAAATAAATAATCCTTTTAAAGTTACCAAGGCAGGCTAAACATCACAGAGCTACTCATTGTGTATAATGGAGCCAGATTTGTTATTTCAGCATCAGAGCATGTGTAGCATGACTTTTTAAACTTTGTTTGCAATCAATAGATGCTTACATATAAAGCAATACCATACAATACAACAACCACATAACAATTTTATGGAGGGTGGTATGGTGTGTACTGGTATATAAAGGTATTTGTTATGAAAATAGAAATACTGTAATGCAGATAACTATAAATTTTCCATACTTTACATATACCACACTGGACTCAATGACCAGGTAGCAGTATTGCTTTAGTGTGTGTGCGTGACGCTTAGTGTACATACAAATGAACTATACTGTAAAACATTTACTACACAGTTTGTTCTTGACAAAAAAAACTACAAATTTTGACATGTTATATGTGTCACATCTGTGATACATTGCAATTTTCACAATTTGTTTTATATGTAAACGTTTATACTCTACAAAATCAACCATTTACAACAATGGCAGCAACACAGTATGCATACAAATGCTGTCAGGCAGTTACAAACTGTACTCGGTGTGCACTGCTTGTCACCGTCCGTGTGTACGCGTCACGTAACGTGACGGCTCTGATGACACTCGTACCCCCCTGCTAGCATCGCTGTCTGTGATGATGTGGGCATCTGTCATAAAGGTGGCAATATAATCATTTAGCACAAACCTGTTTTGAAGATGTGAAATATATATATATGAACTATTCCCTTGTATTCTGTTTTCTTTCATTGAAATGGTGGCGAGACGTTAAATGCCTCAGCCTGGTATGGAGGAGGTCGTGGGTTCGATGCCGACCCTGACGCCTGCTGTATATTTACAGATTGCATTATCTCCCTGTTGTCACGTGGATTTTTCTCCGGGTTCTCCTGTTGTTCCCTCCACATTAAAAAAAACATGCGCTTAGAGTATTTGGCTGCTATACATTTCCACGTGATAAACCACTCAGTTGAGCTATATATGTGATCCATGTCCGCTTCTGAAAAAGAACTATATAGCTTAGTGGGCCTTACCTGGCAAAAAAAAAGTTTTAGTTTGATATTCTATGGTAATAACCTTTTGAGCAGAGTGCGTAACACGAACATCTTGGACATGTGAAAAGCTATTTGATAAATTTTTATTTCATAAACTTGGTATATTCTCGTAGTTAGTACTCTAGAAAAGGTTTCCATGGACAAGCAATTTCGTGTATAAAACAACTTAAATACTTACCTTAATTATGTTATCACCTGACACAATGGTGTTTTGTGGTTGAAGAGGTAAATGCACAAATAATAAGTGCACATGCACACCAATTATGTTGGCTACCTCTGAGGGACAACATAAAACACAATTCTACTTGGTCATGAATGCACTCTAAAAATTGTCTAAATGCGTACGTGGTTGCAATGTACAGTGCAGTAAAACATTCTCAATTCCTCACAATGGTTTACCTGCATATCATTAATCATGAATTGACATTGTGGAAAATAGTACTAAATAAAACATATGGTGTTATAGTTCATATGTTGGTACTTTTGCCCATTTCCACTTGCACATGTATTCCAATCATTAACAGTTATAACTGCAATGAGTTATGAATTGGGGCTATGCAAGGCTATACTATAAAAAAGGACACTGCTAGTGGTGGAGATGTTGTTCATGTGATGTCCTCTGAACCCAGTGACGCGACTTAAATTACCAGCCATGGCTAACGTTGATGACAATAACTCGACCAGTCCTGGGCCCCTTCACCGTCCCACGCTGGCCAGCTTGGTGAAGTATGGACGTGCAAGCGCCGTGAGGGATATAGCATGGGGAGATATTCATCCAGAAGATAATCAACAAATGGCTGTAAATTAGAAATCAATATTATTTCTGTATTACTCTACCCAAGTGAGTGACATTTTGTTCGTACTCAATGGGTAATTTACACTTGGATGAGCTTAATGCTTTTATTTGCTCCATTCCTTGAGAATATTGCATTAACTTTTGTGCTGGAAACAAACATTTACTCCAGAAGCAAAGTTATCTGTAAATATTAAATCGTGTTTTGCGTTTATTTAAAAGTAGCCCAATGCTATTTATAAAACGTTAAACTCTTCACTTCAACGGAATTAACCTTAAGTTTTAAATTGCTATCAAGATTTAAGCAATCATTTAATTAAAACATGCATAGTGGTACGTATTAATTGGATGTATGCCTCTGTGGAAGCCCGATTCAAGTGCGATGCAGACACGGTAATTGAGCTAATTTCCACAGCACTCCGTTCGAATTTCCTCTGTACCAATTTACCTTCAAAACAGTGGTATCAGATATCCTACAATTCACATATTGCTCGATACTAGATTCCAATTTAAAGCTGTTAATTGGAAGGGTGCCTAAAAAAGAGAATTCTACATTGAATTTTTACTCAGCAATTGAAGACAAGCAACATACGAGGGCAAACATATCATTAACATTCTACCAGCTCAAATTGCATGAAGGGCCTTCAGTTACAAGTATCAATGTTCTGATTAGCTATACATTGTGGTTAATATGCTTATATTTACGAATCAACATTATTAATATGTAAAGCATGAATGTGTTGTGATTATACGCTTTGGGTGCATGGAAAGAAAAATGTATATCAATATCCAAAAAAACATGAAATTTCTCCAACTGCGGACACATCAATGAGTTTTCAGAAGTCTGGTGGGGGAAAACAAGGCAAGACGAAATAATTAATATGGTTATCAGAGGAAAGGCTTTGAGTAAGAGAAATGTTGGAAGTAAGATGTAACAGATGAGATTGGGGTGGAATGGATATATCAGAAGGATGCACAGAGACTAGTTTGCCAAGATGAACTTATGAAAGGAGAATCACAGGGAAGAGACCTCAACAAAGACCAGTGAAGAGATAGAAGTTGTGGAATACTTTTGGAGAAGAGTGGATATATCATGAATACTGGACAAAAGCTAGCCTGGGAATAATGTGGAGAATAACGATATTGTCGCCAAACTGACTCTGCCAGATGTAGGACAATGTGACAGATTAAGATGATCTAATTATCACAATGTGAGAAAGAGTTGATATAATTAATCCATTTGCGTTCATGTGCACACCTGGAAAATGTAGTGATGTTTGATATGAGACATCTTACAATACATGGTTCCCTCACCTTTTTAAAAATCGCAATACATTTAAATGCTGTCTTACAACTTGGAATCAAGGCGGCCCATAGAGTGTCATTTGGAAAACAATTGGCGCAGATGCATGTTACGAACAACATTTTCATGCCAGGCAGTCATAAAAAGACACCAATTATATGCATTAATTATGGTGAAATCAATCTACATTTTATGAAAGGCACTTGTATTAGAAATACAAATATTGCACTTGATATCTTGAAGATTACTTTAATATGCTAATTGTTTTTGCAAACAGCATATACATCTAAGGATTGTGTTTTTTAACCACTGCTTGAACCGATGACGTTATAACATATACACTCTTAAGGCATGGATGCCAATCAATTGCTGAAGCTCCTCACCCTTACAGTATAATTAATTTGTGTCGTACATCCACAATTTTTTTTATAATAATGCACTGGTCTACACCAAAACATCCCGGCAGTTGTCACTGGTGGGCCTTCCTCACTTGATCTACCCTCATTTTACTTTTGTGGCAGTTAAATCCCGCATCCTTTTCGTTCACACGTTGGTTAAAGTCCTAGAGTGCAGATGGTCACCTCAGTGTACAAAACCATTTGTTTAACCATTTGGCAAACCTGCACTGTCCACAAATGGCAGTGTTTACCATTCACATTGGAAAGTAAAAATCCGGCAGGATTAAGGCACAGGATAGGGACAAGACATTGCATAGATTATGTGTCTTGCCTTTAAACTTATTGAAGCCCCTTCTTATGCATTGTGATAATTCAGACGTATGTCCCGTATTCCTGCCTAGTCTCAAGCTTCAAAAGACAACAGTTTGTGAGCTATAAGTAATTATCACGGTTGGCTACGTACGGGGCGAAAGAAGCTCAACATACATTCGTCTAAATAATCGTTAGATTCGGGTCTGGGTTAGTGCTCTGACTGAAGGGTCTATAACAGCTTAAAATTTATTTTTTTATATAGAATTACATTTTTCTATGTTTTCGTCAGATTAGTTTTAAATCTCTTTACTCTATATTCAAGGCACATATGATAACCCAGAACAAAAATCCCTGACTGTGTTGAAAAGTTGAACATTGCAAACATCAGAAAAACATTTCTTTGACATTTTCAAGACCATTTAGAGGTTCGCATTCAACGGCAGAGCACTCTTTGTAAGATTTGGACTCTCTAGTCTTACATTGGTGAACTATACACGCATCTTATTGGATTGTCATTTGCTTTTGTCCATTCATTTTCAGTGCACTACCTGTTGATCAGTTAGCCTAACACATCGATGCTGAAAGGTTCTTTCATTACCAATGATCTACAAAAACAGCATCTGAATAACAAACACCAAAGCACTGAGTAAGCAGAAGAGAAGCAGTTGCTTGAGATTGCGTCTAATCAATATTGCAGCATAGGCCATACACATTTTAAGGAGCAGAAATTTAAGATGAATGCATACTCGACAATTTTGTTAATTTAATTTTCGATTTAAAGCTTTCGTGACTGCAGGGATTCATCTTCTTGGTTCTTTCGGTAAAGTCACGTAGAAGGGAAGTAATAAAATGATAAAATAATAATAAAAATAAAACATAATAAAACAATTCTCACGACGTTTCGGCCACAACGCAAGCAGCCGTCCCTTCTACGTGACTTTACCGAAAGAACCAAGAAGATTTTGTTAATTTGTGAAGGAGAGGGTAACTTTTTTAGAAAGTCCCATCATAATTATATGTTTTTTAAACATTGTTGTTGTGCTAAAAATATATTTAGTGCAACTACAGTATGCATATATTTCAGTAGTTCATATCATTATTACAGATTATATTACAGACTGTAAGAAAAAACCATGACTACCATTGGCATTTACACTCATATCTGAAATTAAGAGGATTGTTCAGTCTGCATTACATTCTCTCACATTTTATATTCCAATTAATGGATAAATCAATGACGTTAATATTTTTTACATCCTCATGACATGTCGAAATTAATTATGACGTAGCAGCCAAAGGAATCAATATACTAGAGAGTATGTCTACCAAGGAGACGGAGCAATGAAATCAGTTCATGTTTAGTAGCTAGATGGATTGTGGCATCGTGAGACTGTGAGAAATGGTGGCCTTTATGCAGAAGTGGAGAGGTCATGGCTGATTAAAATGAAAGAAAGCAGGTTAATCATTATGCTGATAGGCTATTTTTGTATAGAGTGTTATATAGTAACCCGATTACCTTTATATCAATCCATTTAAATATGGTGCCCAGCTGGGTGGCACTGTTTAAAGTGTGCTACTCACAAACAAACGCTTGTGATTTAAACATTCTCATTTGCAGGTCAACTCAGCTCTTGAACTCTCAAGGGTTGACGGAAGGCCAACAGTAATTGTTTTATGAACGGTCTCACCCCTGCCACAATAATGGGGAATTCCCACGACTGGTTCAGAGATGTAAACCCACAATGAGCACTGCCCTCGGGTCATTTAAGTTTTAAACACTTTGGGTCATTAAAAATAAGATATTAATAGATGATGGCCAAAATGTGTGCGTGCTCCTTAAATTCTTGCCTGCTCATCAAGACGACT